GAGCGGGCCTCACCACTCTCAATGGAGATTTGGCAGATGTTGTGATGGCATTCAGTGATGTGTCGGCTCCAAGTGGCGTTTTGCATTCTGCATCCATATATACATATAATTGATGTGCTTCGATGCCATCCAATGACTTCTTGAAGTCTTCATGATTGATGAGATATATGCAGAGTCATCGATGTCAGTCACAGTGAACGTGTTCACTTTGACTTTGGCTGCACGTCCCAACTCCTCAAGTGCAGCAGATTGGTCCTTTGCCCTGTCAGAATTACGCTGAAAGAGCTGTATCCAGAGCACTACAGTGTCGCTCATCGTTGCGATATGTTTCTTCTGTCGTCAAACAAGAATTACAGGTAAAATGTCCAACAATATCCAGATGCATAAGGCAGACTGTATATAGAATTGCATTTAAAATGTAGGGATCTGGTAGGACCATGTTGCTTAACACAGCTCAACGTAAATCCTGCATACGCTAATTTGATCTAAGGTCGGAATTACGCTGGATCTTTATTTTCCTGGAGTTTACAATGAATTACAATACTATTCCTACCTTTGTCTCTTGACTCTTCTTGCTGTAACATGACACTCGTTACACTGGCCTCGGTGCATTTCGCACTCGCTCGTTATTGGGCATTTGACATTTCTGGGCATACACTTGCTTTCTGATGTTGATCACACCATTTGAAGTTCGAGGCATTTATGACATTTGCTGAGGTAAATGTCGTATAAGTCTGTATCCTTCCCAATCTGCCATATGGACTGTCCGATTCCCAGTCCAGTGTTTTGTTACGCAGATTGGTAAAGTAGGCCTCGAGGACCTCGTTGAGAAAGTCTTCATTGCCTTTCGCTACCCGAATCAGAAAGCACCACTTACAGATTCTTTTGGTAGTCCTGCAATTGACAACACGTATTGCACTGTTGTGTCTTGTCCTGGAGCTTGAAACGGTATATCTCTGCAAGACGCCATAAGCTGGGAAGTTTGGGGTCGTTGACTCGTGGCCTGTTGAGTAAAGATGACGTCAATAAGCTCCTTGGCAAAGCTTAATATGTTGATATAGAGAAACTGCTACCTGTTGTTATTTTGTTTAGTACCGATTAAGTTTGTCTGTATAGTCTGCAAAACATCCTGCAAATTGTTATAAAGTTTTTAGTTAAAGAGACCTTCGTTGGTCAAAATCTGCCTGTGCAACTAATTGTGCTCTTTCGCGTTGTGTCGGTTTTGGATCAACACTCGACAGCCCGCGAATCTCAAAGCGTCTTTTATACTGGTTATAACCTCGCATGGACTGTGAATTTAGGTTTCCTATAGATCACTCATATTTTGAGATTTGACCAGCTACAACCCTAATTTCTGGGCTTTACAAAAACTTTGAGACCACCCTTGAAACCACTGGCAATACCGGTTACAAACACAGGCTCGAAATCTGCATCAAGCGTAAATTCAAACCTACCAACGCTCTTTTATGAGCAATGACAATAATTAATGGGTATTTTCAAGATCATACCTTTGAACCACTAGTGCGAGAACACTTCTCATCTCGATACCAGCCAGCTTTTGACCGATACAGTTGGAAGGACCTCCCCCAAAGACGAGAAAGGTATATGGTGGAGGTTGATAACCAGGTTTCAACCATCTTTCTGGGTAAAACTCGGTAGCACGCTCATAATACTTGTCGTCCAATGCCAGACAGATCGGGTTGGCTTGAATCAACGTTCCAGCAGAGATTTTGTGTCCACGTATTACTATATCTTGTGTTGTTTGTCGGGCCATACCTGCAGCGGTCGGCATGATTCTGAGAGATTCCTTTATAACAGCATCCAGATATCTGACAAATGTGAAACTTAAAATCAGCATGTTCAACCTCAAGACACGGTTTGTTTATTATACAGGGTCTTACTTCATTTGAGGAAGATTGTCACGGTTTGGTAATCCAGTACGTCCCAATACTGAGTCCACCTCTTCCTGCAGCTTCTTTATACAGCCGGGACTCTCAGCCAAGAGTTTGAGGGTGATTGTCAGTTGATTTGCTGAAGTATCAACACCGCCCCAAAACATGTTGAACACGTTATGTGCTATCTCTTCAGGCGTGAATCTATAAATGGTTGGAGATGGTTGGAGTATATCCAATCAAAGACAAAACGATCCGACCTTTCAGAAGCATGAGCGTGCTCATTGGCAGCAAGAAGACGGTCAATAATGTCCCAATGAATTGTAGCATTCCATTTCTCCTGATCTGTCATGGTATCTAAAGCTTTCGAGACTTCACCAGCTTTTGAGTTACGAACGAGGTCTTCCTTGTGTTTGATGACTTTTGCCAGATAAGCATAAACAGGATCGGTGAGTTCGACTCCAACTTTAGTCGACAGACCCATCGAGTCCCACATATGAGGGCTTGTAAATATCCTCTACGGTCAACGTCAAATAGTCAGAAATACTGCAAAACGTAACAAAATTTCCAATCACATGTATAGGCAAACTCACTTTCCCGAAAAAGTCTGCGAACTGGATCAAAGATTCCAGAACTGCAGATTGTTCACTAGTCATGTCTGCTCCCTTCTTCAAACTCTTGACCATGCTCAAGTGATGCCCGAATCCAACTGTGCCACTAGTGCGAGTTGTGAGAAGCAGGTCTAAGATTGCGGCTTCTTCGAGTCTACAGAAGGAGTCTTACATGACGTCGCCAGCAAGACGATTAAAGTAAACCTGGACGTCCACAGACTCGTCTGATTTTGCAGCATCCTTCCATTGTTCAGTGATTTCATCCATGATCTCAATAACAGCATCAACAACCTGTATGTTTGGGAGTGGCAGAAGGTTAAGCTCAACTCTAACTGAAATGAGTGATGTTGAACTGACCTGATGAAGATGAGTTGGACCGAATGCCGGCTGAAGAATCTTGCGAGTACGGTTATGGTCTTGACCAAGACGAGGCAACACTCCTTTATCCATAATGCCTTTAGTCATCACCGCCAGAGTGCTCCACTTTGGAAATACTGCCTCATTCATGATCATTTCACGAAAAACATCTGGGTCGGCGATGGTAACAATGTGGTACCCAAATCCATAATCGATTTTGAATAATGGACCGTGTCGTTTGTATTGATCGATGTGGCACAGATCCGTTCGTCCTGCGTATTTAGCAACCATCGGGAGGTTTCCTGATTGCAAAGAATGTTGTAAATGATGCGTGCTCATGTTCGTTGTAAGTGGCTGTAATTCAAAAGAACGTGCCAATGATGGGATAGATCGTATCTGAAGGCACAGTTGGATTAGATTTTGCACGAAAAATTCGATACCTAAAAAATGGAAATTGTCAGAAATTTCAGTGAATGAGAATGATAGCTTTGTAGCGCTACCATGTCCAATATGCCAACAGGCTTCCAGAAACAGCGATTGCTGCACGAGAGATTTCGCGATGATGGTTTGTCCAGATGTTTGATGCATAGGAGACAGGAGGTCTCAGAATATCCCTTACACGGTCCATAACTGCTGAAACAGATTCTCCAATACTTCTTCTTCGTGTGAAGTAAAACTAACTCAGCCTCTTGAATTGTGATCAGGGCTTTTTTGGACGCAAAATGAAAAGACACGTGTAAGAATGGCTGTTTGAGGATCGTTGGCTTGAGGATCGCCTCGTATGAATGTAACATCTTATATCAAGGTCGACTGGTCCGTTTGCCTTTCCTTGCGCGAATTCTGGTTTACCAAAATAAGTTGAGGACCCTGATTTAGTCGAGCCTCATCAAAGGGCCAGTATGGTATGCATTGGACAGCAAATTTTCATTGTTGTAATATACAAGCGACCATCCATTTAGTAGGCCCATGAAACTTTGTTGGTGAATGGTTTGGAGTGCTGAATGAGCTGAATGGTGTTGATTGTAACCATGCCGACTGGACATGGTTGAGTTGGGATTTTAGATCAAGTACAGCAATAGTATACTCTCTGACCGTGAGAGGTCCCAATTCTCGTTGTAAATCAAAACAGCGGCAAAAAACTGAGGTGGTTGATGTCGTTCGCAAGCAAGTCCAGTGACAATCAAATAAACAAGATAAATGATCCAGCTAGAACTTCGTTTGGCTTGATGAGGAAGCCTGAAATGGATGTATCGTATATATTCTAAAACATGTGATAAAAAACAAAAACTGGAAAGTCTTCCAGCAGCGTCTTAAAGCAGGAAGCACGGGCTGTATTCGTATACGGACGACTTAAAATAACATCAGAGATGCCTCTTGAGTAGCTGCGGTCCGTCTTCATTGGTTTCTCCAGATCGAGTGTCGTAGGCGATGTTAGGACGTCTAAGAGACTTCAACAAGAGAATGAAAAAAGGAATTACACGGGTATCAAGGTCGAATGCTGCTTTGTTTCAGACTTTTTCTACCCTTCCGTTGGAGGTCTCGAAGCTCACCTGTATCATTTATCACAACGATTGATCAAACATGGTCATAAAGTAATGTACAATTATTGTTATTTAATTTGTAATTTTCCGCATCCAATTCACTACTTACTCCTTCTTTCAACTCTTTGGTAGGTCAGCATCATCACGCATCACTACAAAACAAGATCTGGAGTTCGCTACTTGACGAATGGACTGAAAGTATACCATATTCCTACGACAATCGTGTATGCTGGATCAACATTCCAGACCGTTTATGTGACGTCTTTGCATTGATCGTCTTTGCATTGATCTGACGACCGGGACTTCTCTCCGAACTTACCATATCGACTGACTGCTCTGAGAATACCTGAAAGGTGTTGCAAAGAAAGGCCATCTTCGGCTTGAGCGATAGGTCTTGCGCTTAGTCCAAACACAATTTCTTTTGAGCAATAGAGAAGAAACATCATCTTCCTAGTTTATATAAATTTGTGCAAAACCCACTTTCCCTATACTTTGTTGTTATACATCTTTTCTTATACATCCCTCCTTAAATTCTTTGCATTCATAATACACGACTTTTGATACCTCTTGATTTGTTCCATCCAAACTGTTTGATGGAGCTATTCTTCCTTGCCAACCATATGTTGAACAGGTTCGACCACTTTTTTATGGGCAGCTAAAGAAAAGATGGGATAAATCAGCTGTTGAAGCTATACCGAAAACGAAAACAATTTTGAATAGCAGGGCATTTACTGTTGGTGGTAGCTTTCTTGGCCTTTTCGGAACGTTCAACCTTTTGTTGCTTGCGTGCGTTTTCTTTGGCTTCCATTTGGAAGAAGAGGGTGCCGTCATATTGTCGTCGGATGTTTTCCTTTGTAATCTGTGGTGAAAAGAAATCGTAAAGTCAGATTTCAAAGATTTTCGGATGACGGGAGTTGGGTTTGTTCGATGGCGTGAAACTTGGAAGGGCAAAATCAAAGCAGCCAAAATATAACCAAAATGATGATACGAATCATCGACACTTCTTTGTATCATGGAATTCCACTTACGTAGCTGTCAGACCCAAAACCAGAACCTTCACCACACAATAGCCACAAGGTGAAGTACCTAAAACGATTGATTAGGCGGTTAATTTGACATCAGGTCACAACTTCCTCCAACCTATTTTTGACGTACTCGAGGAAGCATGCAATCCAGCCAAAGATATCCCAAGGACGACGTTGGTGAGACAACATCATACGAACTTCAGTAGCAGTCAATGCATCTTTGCGAGTTTTACCAAATCGAGAGAACAATTCTTCGAATTGGTCTGGTCGGAATCGGCCTTCAGAGTCTAATTTGATAGAAGAGAGTGGTGTGTGAGAAGCAATTTTTGATGGCCGACTGGCTTGAAGCATCAAATGATTTGATGGATGTGCTTTTTTAGCATACCGTAAATGTCAGTGTCACTTCCATGTTTCACTTTGTGAATATTGGCAATGAAGATAGGTAGCGCTGGGTTTGGAATCCAAGATGCTAGGTGACGTGTATTGACATGTTAGTTCTCGGACAAAAAAACGGATCATGGTATTGATGATGGTGTGGCTTACTTTGAGTAGGGTAAGCCATATTCAAGTGAATGAAGAGCATAGCCAAGAAGGAGTATGACATCACGAAGCCCATTCTTCGAAATCCAGAGTATGTGTTCCAAGGGTATACGACTCCATCATTGTCTCTTTATGAAAAAGTGGATGGAAATGGTGTTGGAGTGAGTAAGAGTATATGAAGTACTGTAAAAATCCGGTAGAGAATGTTTTTTCTTCTACAAGGTTATCATACAAACTAACACATGTCAACATGCTGACATGTCCGAAGAGTTCAACATCGAGATAAGTTCCACGATGCATTCCCTCGATCGTATAAACTGATTTGGATTACACCGCACGTGTGCGATCGATAACCTCAATCCCGCACAAACCCAACAAAATCAAAAACCTCACTTACGGATCAAAGAAGGCAATGTGTTGTTGAAGTACAGAGTAGTTCTTGTGGTGTATGTCTGAAGATCCATTCGGGTGCTCAGCAGAAGCTATCGTAATATTGTATGCAAATCAGTAAAAAAAACTGGTTCTTAAACTTTAATTGACATGTGCAAAAATCATATGAGTGAAATGTTGGATCTACTCAACGAAAGTGTCGTAGACTTCAATGTTCTCGTGGACAAGATATTGGATCGAGAGCACTTACGAGCGAGATTGGCACGTGGAATTCCAGCATGCGGAATCTTTTCATAGACGTCTGTGGATGGAAGTGGGTAGGCCTTGTGGACGGGAGCTCCATCCACCCTAAGTGATCATTAAAGAGCAACTTAGTTTTGAATTCAAGATAATATGCTGCTTGCTGCAATGCAACTTACGTGGTTTCGATTGGATCTTTGTGAGCGTCTTTAGCCATTCTTGATTGCTTTTTGAATCGTTTTGGTATCAAGTCTAAAGGAAAAAGTAGCTTTATTTAGTATTAGATTCAATATAATAGGCTTGGTATGCTGCCTTGTTGCTTACTAGAGGCCTTGTTCTGTTAGATTCAGAGTTGTTAAAGTTTGCAATTTTTGGAGTTTGGATGGTTGTGAGACTGGGAGTTTCTTTTTTTCACTGATTACAGCCTGTGGAGAAAAATGCTTTTCTTCGCGAGGATATAATTTGACATGCACTGAACTTTGACAGCTCCATCTCGACGTGATATTTTTGACATAATGTGCTCTGATGGTGGGAAGGTGCTGACAGTTGCAACAGGGACCTCTTGAACAAATTCACGTCAATGTGAATACATGAGCTTGATATTGACGCGTTTTAAAAGTGGTAGAGCCTGCGCTTCGGTTGTTTCTGGTGTCATCTAACCTGTCAAACACACAAATCGAGCTTTGAGTTTCGATCTGATGCAACCTTGGAGAAAATGGAGAAAGAAAAGGAAAGGAATCAGTCAGATCCTTCTGTTAATGAGAATGAGCTGTGAAAACAGCACTGATCTGTAAAAGATCTACCGCCAACCAAAACTTCTGTTGCAGGAGCGCTGATCTCGTAATCGCTATAGTTAGGAGTCACACGACATCAATCGAACCCCAGATTTACATTCAAATACACATCAAGTTAATTTGATCATACAGAAATTTCAGCACCAGTTACACCCTTGGCGACACTGCAACCTTAAAACATTCAGAAACGAGTGCAATCGTCCCCTCATACTTGACTTCCAAACTCTGCTCGACCCCGCCAGTCTTCACCTCTTCAATCCTAAACTTCAAAAACAGATTCGCCAGCACAAGCCGTAACTCCAGCAAACTAAAGTTCCTTGCGATACAGTTCCGAGAACCAACTCCAAACGGCCAATACCCATCGACGAACTGCGTATCTGATATAGTGCCTGCTGGTCCACCAGGCATGAATCGTGCTGGGTTGAATGTCTGTGGTGTTTCCCATCGATGTGGATCCAAATGGGATGCGTGCATGTTGAGCATGATGGTCGTGCCCTCTGGGATTGTGTAGCCTGATAGAACCATTTCGGTGGTCGATACTCGAGGCAGGCTTTCTGATATTGGGAAGAGGCGCATTGTTTCGTATAGGGCAGCTAAAACAACGAGGAAGAGATACCATATGCATGCGGTTTTCAAAGTAGTTCGATTTGCAAGGTACTTACCATTGAAATATGGCATCTGATTTCTAATGTGATCTGCAGATATATGCCCGTTGGCTCCAAGTGGTGCAGCATCGATCTCAGCTAGAACGAGTTGAAGGTGTTTGGGATGCCGTATCATGTTGATTATGAAGAAACTCATAGTCTACAACAACAAGTGAATCAGAAAAGGTTTTGCTTTGACGACAATCATCGCATACCGACGACGTTGTATCAGACCCAGCCAGTAATAGGTCCACGGCATTAGCGATAACTTCTTCATCCTGGATCGAGAACCGATTCAATGTCAGACCCAAGTATTTTTCTTTTGGCATCAACCGTACCTCAAGTTTACCAGCATCACTTTCAGAAACATCTAACATGACTTGCAACAAGTCGATCCTCTTTTCAGACTTTCGCCTTTTGGCAATCAGATTTTGCATGAAAGTGAACACGCTCTTTGCACTTTCGGTTCCTCTTTGAATCTCTGGAATCCAAGGATGCAAAAAGGTAGGGTATGCTGAGAGGTATGTTCCGACCTATACAAAAAGGAAGTCCATTAGATTAAGCTGATGTTCAGATCTGTGACATCCAAACATACTCTCGATAGAGCCTTAATATCATCTACAAGAGGATTATGACCCTTTTCAATCATGTGAAAGTCATCAAATGTTGTTGCTCCTATTGCGAAAACAAATTACAAAAATGTTTTCCGTATAAAGGCATTTCTTAATGCACATATTCTAAAGAACTTACCAACAACATCCAGCGCAACCAGATTACAATCACTCCAAATATTAGTTTCCAGCACGCCACTACTACTAGCAGCACATCCATCCGCATACTTTCTGAACAAACGATTCGCAATCTCATGCATGGTAGGCTCCAATCCGGCAAGATACTTGACACTAAATCCATGCGACAAGATACGGCGAACTCGTCGATGTTCATTCTTATCGAGGATTGTAAACATGGCTGACTTGACACCTAGTGCAAACCCAAAGTGAAAGAATTTGTAGATGTGGGATTTCGGGAGCTCGTTTTGAGCTACCCCTAAAATATAGAGAAATTGGATATGAATTTTATGGTAACAAAAAAAGTCGTTACAACACTAAGTACTTTACCACACTGCCTAATCAGCTCAGGCGACGCAACAGATATCGTATCCCTTCCTAAAGCAATGAGACCTCCGTACTTTTGATGCCAGGTAGTGGTAGTGTGTTCGATCGAGCCTCCAAAAAGTGTCAAGAGAAAACGGTATGCTGGAAGCAATTTCACCGTCAGTGGTGTTGGTACATGTTTTAAAGGGGATAAAAGATGAAAATATAGGATATTTAGTAACAGTGGTGAGCCAGCTAGTGCTACTGCGACCAGTAGTGGCCTCATGACGGACATCGCTGCCATGGTTGATGTTGATTACTTTCTAGACCAAAAGAGCTCTAGATAGATCAGCGGCCTGCGATATGCAACTTGAGTGCTTTACGATAAGAATCGATGCTAGTAAGTTAGGTTCTAAATCCAAGGATCACTTTATCAGCGTCACTACAAACTTAAGTGTGAAGAATTGAGCGGTGCAAAGCGTGTTGCTTCAAACAATTTCCAGACATTCCATTCAAAATACCCTCAAAAACCATATCTCATACCGCTTTGAGGGGCGACCGATACAAGGTTTTCTCAGCTTTCCTGTTGTCGCGCTTTTTACAAAACATCAAGTTGGTCGTAGGATGGACTCTCACGTCAAGCGGTTCGCTAAGACCTTGTTCAGGCCACGAGCATCGAGCAAGGATGATCGCGCTATTGATGTCGTGACGAAGGATGCCACGATTATCACTGGAACGGAAAATGTTGACGACGAGTATGTTTGGATCGTTTTCATATCAGTGTACTGCAAAGAACCTTCTTCTAACGGATGTAATTGTAGATCTGTACCTGGCTTTCGCAAAGATCTGGTCTGGAGTGAGGATGAAGAAAAGATGTATGTAGCATTTGAATCCATGAGTTTGTCAATTGCTAGTGAGGGCATCACAGGATTTTGGAACAAAGGGATTAGAGGGATCTTGAATCCATTTTGAGAGAATTCAGAGAATGGGAGGCCGGATCGTGTAGCTCTGTGTTTGATGAAGCATATTACGGGAGATCATTGGCTGAACCTGACATATTTTGGCTGCACTTTTATAGGATCGTCAAGAAAGTGGATAGGAGTATACTAATTCTAATGGGGTTCATCTTCTTTGTTCTTCAAGTGGATCGAGGGAATATTGCTTCTGCTTTGAGGTAGTTCTCGCTGGACAAAAAAATAAATCCGTGGGCCTCACGCATTTGACTTTAGTGACAACATAACAGGAGACACGAACATGAGCGTCAATGATTTCAATCTGGGAACAGCAGTGTTTGTTCTCGCATACTCTTGCGCTCAAGTGCCACTGAACTCGCTGACGCGGCTATTTGGTCCGAGTATCACGATACCTGTTTCGTGTATATGCTGGGGGATTGTCACGGTTTCTCAGGCTTTTATATCCAAGTGGGTAGCTAGTCGAGCAGAAAGCGGTTTGCACTTCGACCTTAATTCGATCATTCAATGTTTTTTAGCCGAACGCAATACCTGATAACAAGAGCTCTCCTGGGCGTCGCAGAATGTGTCTTCTTACCAGCCGCAATCATGTATCTGAACACATACTACAAGAAGGGTGAATTCGCTACGAGGCTATCATGGCTATATGCAGTTTATGGTATTGCCAACATCTGCACTGGATTCCTGGGATTTGCTATACTGAGAATGAGGGGAATTGGTGGTCTTCCTGGCTGGTCATGGATGTTTATCATTGATGGTGCTGCTACCATCATTCTGGGGCTGGTTTGCTTGTGAGGGTGCCTCCTTTCTCTTGCGTCATCCCTATTTTCCTTCGTTTTATGCATTCTAATGTTTTCGTGTCTTCAGTTTCGTGATTCCAACCAACCCAACCAAAACAACAAGTTTTCTTCGCCGCAACCCCCTCTTTACCGAACGGGAAGCGCAAATATCAGTAACGAGAGTTATACTAGATGACCCAACAAAGGCTGCTAAGTCGCGAGACTCGTTTACTCGACAAGATATCGAAGAGTCACTCTCAGATTTGAATATCTGGATACACGTCTTCATTGGCATCTTTTCTCAGATGCCTTCTCCACAAATTGGACTGTTCTCATCATATGTAATCAAGTCGCTTGGGTTTGATACTGTACGTGATCTTGAGCTTCAAAGTCATAAGATACGGTTGCCTACTACTTTTTTGCTCTTCCCCTCATCAGGTATACGCCAACCTCTTAACAGTCCCAGCTAGCATATTTGGCGTTATCGCTATGGTGACAGTGACTAGATCATCGGACAAACTGAATGAACGAGCGTATCATTCAGTGTTTGCTCTTGTATGGCAAGCTGTTGGGTTGGTATTGTTGGTACTGCTACCTGACTCTAAATGGCCACTGTATGCTGCTTTGATCTTCACGTTATCATGTATGTCTTGCAGTGTTTCATTCAGCTGTGAAAGTCACCTGAAGAATACTTCCCTGTTTTTGTGCAGGGCCGTCCTTCCATCCGTTACACGTATCGTGGCTGGCTAATAACATGAATCCCATGAACAAGTGAGTTTTAACATCAGTGCCGTAATTCTATGTCCCTGCATGCATGATTTTTTGCCTCATTGCTTCACATGACTCCACTAGACGATCCATCGCCACGAGTATGCTCATATCTGCTGTCTCATTTGGACAAGTTGCTGCATCTCAAGTGTATAGAGATGACGATGCACCCAGATTCAAGCGTGGGAACTCGATCTTTGTTGGGACTACATTACTTGCCATGTAAGTAAGTTGCTGACATAGTGCTGAAAACTGTTAAGAAGGTTTATGTTTCCCTTTTTTGCCCACTAGCCTTCTGGTACTTTTCAAACACTACCACTACCAATGGGTGAATCATCGACGTGCGAAGAAATGGGCTTCCATGTCTGAGGACGAACGAGAAGAGTATTCGAACAAGACAAAAGATGTTGGAAGCAACAAGTTAAATTTTAGATTCAGACCCTGATGCGGGTGAGACTGCGAAGATGGAACATGCATAGTTCGGCTGTCATTAATCGTTTTAGTTTCTCCCTAGTACTTTAACTATTTTAATTTACTCATGAACTAAATACAACTAATTTCACTATGGATACGCAGTCCCTGCCGTTTGAAGTGCTTGATGCAAATCCAAGATAGTAGATCTGGTCTTGCTGATCCATACTGTTGTATGTTTAGAGAAGTCATGTAGATCCAAGGTTCAGACTGTGATATTGACTAGAGATTGGACTAACAACATACAAGATCGAACTGAAGCAATTCTTTTCTTCTCTAAGTAGACTATAGTGACTCCTAACTAAGTAAATATAACTAATTCTACTGTGGAAACAGATTTGTCTCTGCTTGCAATGTTCGATGCATGTCCAAGATTTTGGATCTGGTTTCAGATTCTCGTTGGCGATACACTAATACACACGCAAAAAACATTTATTAGCACATTCCATAGCCAGAGACAATCGATCAAATCCAGCCTACCAGGATCACAAAGCATCGACCGATTCCTCCTCAGCTCATCACTGAACTGCGAACTAGCCATTTCATACCATTTCGTCTGAGGAGGTCGACAGCTTTCCTGTTACCAAAGAAAGAAAGCGTATATCATCAATTTCTGAGGGATGTTTTTCGCATTCGATAGAAAGACTCTCATACCCATTGTTGCGCCCACAACTCAATCAGCAACCTCTTCTCCTGTCTCCGTAACTCTTCTAAATTAGTCTCACTCGGTACAGCCCACGTCGCATCTCTCGGTAGCCTAGCATGTCCGAAATTATCATTTCGTATCCCGAATCTGATTTCACGATCATGCACATGTGGGATGTTTCCTCGGTGTGTTAATAGATGGTCTCTGCAAAAAAAAAACAAGTGTAAGTCCAATAATACGATTGTTTGCGTACCGATCACTCCCTTCTATACCTATTCAACGTATCATACGTCGTCATAGAAGCAAGTCTCGTACTCTCGTGCCCGTTATTATATCTCTCTGACGCCAGATTTCGAATCTGCGTGTCTAACTGACGCACATCGTTGCGTGTCTCTTCGCCAATGTTGGAAGCGTATGAGGATTGCAGGGAGAGGCCAGCTAGGGATGGGATGGCTCGGGATTCTTCTTGTGGCGTATCGATTGCCTCTGGTGTGCCATTTATCGAGTCTGATGAATCAAAAGATGTGCGCGTTGGTGAATTGCCTTGGATGCAGAGGACGCCGTGCACGGAAGGGTTGATCCATTTTTTATCGTCGCGATTCAGGTTGGATAGGTAGCGTTCGTGTAGGGAGCCGTATAGTGAGAACATGGTTTGCCAAAAAACAGTCGGAATTCACACAACAGATTGAGGGGTGACTCTGCCGTTGATTTTATATCATTACAGTCGGACACACAAAAAGGCAGCAATTACATTTTCAGGTTTCCTTCATCAAATTTCTTCTTCTCTTCTCTATATTCCCCCCGCTTCTTTTTGAGGTATTTTCCATTCAAGACTCACAAACAGAGACAACAAAACTCACTGCCAAAAATCTCAACACCCACATTCCCATTCCTCAAGTTGAGCTTGGTTCTGGCTGTTGCTCTTCATTTGATGTAACAGCGAGTAAATCAGATGGACGTAATGGCTATATGAAAATGAGTGTTAGGCTCAGTTAAGTAAACCCCAAAAAAATCTGCTTCGCTTGCCTCGACCCGCTCCTGCTCAACAGCACCACCATCACCCTCCTCATGATATTCATCCAGCCGAACTTCTTCCTCATCCTCAACCTCATTCACTTGCAGTCGACCCATATCATCCACTAAGTCCGAAGCAGAATCAACACTTCCAGCACCAGATGGGAATATCATGCCGTGTGGCATGGGATTACCAGCATATATGGCGCCATATGGTACACTGCCGTATGGTACTGGAGACATTTGGAGCGGCATGCCTGGTCCCTATCGTATATGAAGGGTGTGAGACGACAAGGCAAAAAATTCAATCCACTACTGGGGCTTCCGTACAATTTTTCGATTCTTCGCCTGTATAGTCTTGAGTCTCTTTTGAGCTTCACTGTCGGCGAATCGGACCTGTAATGCGATATCCGTTCCAGGAATTGTTTGGTCGTTGAATCGTGTTATGACATTAACTGCGCTTTCACGAGATTCCAGCCTGGCAAACCCAACTCCACGGGATTTTCCGTTTGCTTCTCGTAGGACTTTAGCTGATAGGACTACTTGAGGTTTTATGAGTTCAATGAGGTTCTAGAGGTATTCCTGTTTTGGTTAATGTATATCCAATTTTGATTAAATGAAGGCAAAAAACTGGAATCCAAAACGCTGGTTCATGTCTTTCAGACACAAGCTGGTACGTACTGTTTCAGTGTATTCCACTGGCAAGTTTGAAATGTACACATTTGTTGATCCAGGATCTTGTAAATCAGACATCCTGACATTGAAGTTGTCCTACGGAAACATCACGACTTTTAGTACGATCTCGTATTTTTGCACAATCACAAACAAAAATTCCCCAGCGAGTTTACATACCGAATCCAACCTTGGTCCCACTCTTGCAAACGACACTTGATATCCATTTGCCTCCAATCCATTCATGGCAGCCCGAGCCTCTGATTCACGTTCATACATGACAAATCCAAAACCTTTACATTCACCGGTTTGCAGGTGCACGATAGCTTTTGCACTTACTATAGAACCAAATCTGTTTGATTTGGATTTGAAGCATTAGAAAAATCCGTTGACAATTTTGCGTGTGAGGCAACAACAGAAGAAGCTTGCGATGACTACCGTAAAGGACTTACTCTTTGACAATCTCATAAAACTTGTCATCAGTCATGGTAGGATCTAGACCACGGACATAGACATTAGTATTCAATCCCGCTGGTCCCATTTGATTCATCTGTGGCGACATATGTGGAGCTATATTCCTCAATGGTGATCTAGGAGGACCCATCATCTGATTCATCATGAATCCAGGATTCATTCTCGGAGACTGCTGATTCTGAAACTGATTCATATTGTTTGGCACTATTATCGGTGACATGTGAGGGCTCATATTAGGTGACATTACTGGTGACATATGAGGTGATATCAGTACTGGTCTATTACTAGTATTATTTGGTCTGGCTGGAGTTGGGAAGGATGGTGCAGGCATAACGAGAGACGGTATTGAATCTACGTATGGTCGTTCGGGTGAGTAGAATGCGAATGGTGACATATTGAGGTTTGAGTTTGTTGAGGGTGATGGCATGGTTTGTACTGAGGATTGCGAGCTGTGTTGGGCTAGTTCTGGCATATAGTAATAGAAGGGGCCGATATATGGACTGTCTACAATCTGTTGCTGTTGGTTGACATCGTAGTACATGGTTGGCTGTTGTTGACCTTGGTGCTGTTGCTGCTGAGCATATGGATCAAAGAAAGTTGGACTATACATTTGTTGTGAGGGCACTGGTCTAGATGGTGGCGATATGAATACATCTGCTGGCCTGACTTGTCTAACACCTGCGGTTGGTCTCGGTCGTTGAGTGACAGCATCTTTACCGTTGGCGTATGGTTTCATGGTAGGTGGCGTAGCAGGAGCTATATCGTCAGATAAAGAAGAGACAGTAGAGCCAGCAGAAGAAGCAGAGGATGAGTGGTTTACGTTTGGTGACGGCGGAGTGATTTCAGAAGCGTCAGTCAACCCGACCTCATAATCCACCTCGTTTATAGAAGTCTTTACGTCCGTTTGTTGCGATTGTTGAGCTATTCCAGTTGATTGGTGGGAGGTTGCTGCCATCTAGAGTGTGGTGAAACCACCTTTGGTTTGGGTGTTAGTAGCGGTGTACCCTAAGCGATCAGCTACTAGCTAGATAAAAGTCGAAGCTCCAACTGAAGCTTGAATGACCTATGATATCAAATTTTCTATCAGCAAGACACCAACCAAGTTCACACGTGTGGAAAGAGAAGAGATGCAGTTTGACGAGACATCATAAGACCATACACAACATGCAGCGGATTTTCATATTCAAAATCGATATAGTTTGGCAATGAAAGTGCCTATTCTTCAATCGAAACAAGAAAAAAAAACTTGGGTGACAGGAACTTTGACTTACTAGTGCGTTTTTCCAATGCGGAGGACGTTCGGCTGTTTCGAAGCCTTCTTTGACTTAACCACGAGCTGATTACTCTTACTCAGGAACGATAAAACAATCGAGAACTATTTCTCTGCTCCTATTTAGCTTGTAGTAAGAGTTTGGAGATTTTTTCCTTTTTGGAAGGCTTGAATGGATTGACCAATCAGATTGCTCGAAGCGAAACGTGCGAGTCTGCGACAGAAAGCTCAACGAACAAAAAGAGTCATGGAAGAGAGGCAGTGAAATCTACGATTTCGTGTATGTACGCGGTGGTGAAGCTTTGTCCCGTTTCTCAAGGTACACATACATGTCGCGAAATATTCATAGTTGAAGAAAAGCTCTCAGCAGAGAGTCTCGCTGAGCAACAAATTTCTATAGCAGGGTTCTGAATGTTTTCTTTAATTAACAGCATTTATAGCACTTCTTTACTCTTAAATTGGCTTGGAACGACCCATATGGCTGCAGCACGCTATTTGCGTCCCTGCATCTAGCTCGATGATTGTGTTTTTGATGGCAAAGACATCGTTGGAAGGCTACCAGTAGAGCTGGTGTTGAAGATTGCAAGATATACGGAGGGATATCGTGGCTTACAATCAGACCCCAAACAAGTTGGTATCGTTGGCTCTCACGAACGACAGGATGTCTGAAATTCTGTTCCCTCTTGTTTGGGAGGAAGTCAACGTCACATCTTCCAATTAATTACACCATTCCCTCGCTGCTATCACAAACGAACGACTTGTTCCTGTACAAGCCGTCAACGGCATCCGTGCCTTAAGGTTGACTAAAACGTCGAGCCTCATCAACCGGCCACCAAGCGTCGATCCTGCACGACCGTGTAGCAATATAAAAGCAAATCATTTCAATATCTTGCAAGACATGTCGATGGTCAAGAGTCGTTTATTAGTATTGGTGTCTCTCTTTACGCCCAAAGTAAAATCAAAGTTTCAGCTCTGCTTCCAAAGCCCATTAAATCTTTCAAGTTTCCACCCCCAAATATTATTATTTCTTCAACCATTAACCTGCTTGTAAGTCATGTTTAAACCTCGACCAAATGTATCCTCAGTCTCTACACCGCCATCCTCAATATCCTTTTACGAATTACAATTAAAAATGCCATGAGGGCAAGAAGCCAGATTCAAAGTAGCATTATGCAGAGGCCACAAATTATTCGCCGAGTCATACCCCTGAGAATCCAAACTGTACAAGCACAAATTATCCCCATAATAGCAAGTCGTGAATGTGTAATCTGAGGATGCGAATGACGCAGTAACATTGAGCGCAGTTCCACCCAAATCAACGGTAGTACAACAGGATGGCTGGCCTCCATTCGTTTCGTCTACACAAATCCGATACCAGTTGGGACAGCCGTTGCCAGCTGGACATACAGTGCCGTCATTGTATGTGCAAGTTATGGTCGATGTCGATTCATTGAAACTTGAATTTGCTGGGACCAGGCTGTAATTGGATAGAGACGGTGGACCTTGATATCAAAAAATGTGTTTTTGAATGTAATCGGTGTGTTGCCGGATGTTCAAGCTATACTTACATCCATATCCTTCCGTGTAACAACGGTTTAAACTTGCATCTACGAATCCAGGTGCTGATACTGCAGCAACAGTTGTTGCAGCAGCAGGTGGAGTCGTGGTAGTTGGTGTAGCAGATGCCATATTGCTCTTCATTTAATGGAAGGACATGTTAATTGACACGTCAATACTTCTGTCAAGGACTTTGAAGCTTGTTTCGAACTTACGGCAGCGGGAGCAGCACTAGGAGCGACACTGGCAGCAGGAGCATTAGCAGTAGTTCCACATGTCCCAAACCCAGTCTGGCATCCGACACCACAATGTCTAGAGCATACAACGGAACGAGTCAATAAGGTATCGTAGCATGTAACTGGTTTGCGATAGAAACAGAACATACGCGTCAGTAAATCCACACCAGGAATACTGTTTTCATTTGTAATAGTCAGTTCACGTAGGAAGTATTAAAAAGTAACCGAAAGCAACTGCTTACTTGTGAACAACAAGGATAGGTTGGATCACCACATGAGGTCGCAAATTGAATACCATCGGAAACACCACAGCGACCAGCTTGTACGTTTCCTGTAGACCCACATGCTCCGGATTGACATCCGGCACCACAGTAATCTGCTGAAGCTCCACACCATCCGTACTAGAGTTGTTAGAGAGGGATTGTTAACAAGTATCAATCAGCAAACAGTCATAACGTGTTGAAGGTTCTTCGCAACTTACTTGAGAGCAACAAAGACCAGCAGGACAAGCTACATTCCCACCACAAGCACCATCAATGGATACACTGGTTGTTGAAGATTGAGGTGTTGTGGAAATGCAAAGTACTTGTGCAGGGTAGATATAGTCGGCGTCACAGTTCAATGCAGTGCCTAACACAAAAAGAATAATGTTTGAATATCGAATTGATGAGTTTAAAAAATTGGCACATCGCATCATGTTGGTGTTTCAAAGGCGAGTCCACATTGGGAAATTTGGGAATCAAAGGATGCAAAGCATTACCCGCATTGTTAAGTGCTTCCAGTACGTGATAGTCCGCAAGACCTTCATTTTGAGCAATCTGTTATAAAACAAAATCATCATTTGTTAGTGCTAGTCCTGCCCACTGAATCCTGCAACAACAAGCGGAGGTTTCATCTAACGAATACTGACAGCATAACAAGAGTCACCAATCGACACAGTATACCTAATTATCAATGTAATTTAATTTGTGTTTTATGGAGCATCGCTCACAAAAAAAACCTGGTTCATCCAATAATGGAGCAGAAAACTGTCAAACGTACGTCTTTGTACACGATGCAATTGGGTCTGCTACAACAACAGACACAGCAAGCGCAATAGTCAAAGCGATGAACTTGCAAGACATGTCCGTGTATCTCCTTCAAATGCTAAACTGGCGGTGGTTGAAATGAGAGTGGGCATTCCAATTTCCGACACTCCACGATTCATACTCCGACATTGGAAAACAACGATGGGTCTTATTCATATATAGCATTAATACCAATTCCTTGCGTTTAAATCGACAGTATTTGTGTTGAAATTGAAAGGAACTGATGCAGGTGTCCGCAACAAGCTATTTGCGTCCTTTGCAACTAATTGTAACTCGATTGTTGATTTTCGGTTGAGGCGAAGGCACAGGGTATAGCAGCTATCAAAATCTAATAGACGATCACAATATATATATAGTGTGACAGCTCATCGCCTCCCCCACTGTATAGGATTCGCGTCCAACGTCGAGACAAATCGAAGCATCTGAGCATCTGTCACTCGCAGTCTGCCAACGCTTTCAATGACGCACCCGACAACTACGACCAGAACAGCTAACCTAACATACAGAGCTGTTCAGAGCTGTCAAACTGTACCTATTCTGCAAGAATCAAGAACTTGGAGACCCGGTACATCGAGTTACAGGGCACATTTCGTGTTATATGTTTTATATTGGTTGAATTATCGGCACAATAAGCATATCGTGACTAATTATTGGTTAAACCGAGCGACTGATTGTTGATAGTGGTACTTGTACTAGCATTGTTCCTGTCTTGGCGACAACCTGATTGCCCTCCTGTTCAATCGTAGACCGATATAAAGAAGTTGCACTATTCAAGCAACCTTCGTCTTCCTTCTCCCAAAGGAGACAGACAACGAATGTCTTCTATGTGAGTTGTGCATCCCTCTTCTCCTTCCGAAGAGTGGGCCATCTGGATTTGTTCCGTGGTTGATGTCGTCGGAAACCAAGTCCAGTGACAATCAAACAAGAGACAGCAGTCACGCAGATCTTCATTCGGTTCGATAGAGAGGTCTGAGATGGATCTAACACGTTGTAACAAAGTGGTTATCAACCTGTTTGGTAAAACAAGTGAGATGATGTGAACTCTGCGAACGTCTGAAGCAAGAAGCAAGGGTTGTATTCGTATACGGACGTCTTGCTATGACCGCAGAGATGCAGCTTGACTAGCTGAGGTTCCTGTTCCTTGATTTCTGGAGTGTTGTGGGCGATATATATCAATAAGAGAGAAGTTATCGACAACGAGACTGTAGGAAAAGCAATAAAACATTGTTAAAAAGGAACAGCCCACGAGTAGAAAGATAGTTCGCTGCCTAAATTAACTTGATGCCGCGTCGCGATTGCCTGTTGCTCTCATCAACGTCATTCTCCCGACTTTTGAGCTTTCATCAAAGATACGAATGATGAACATCTGGTACGAACCGTCCTTAATAACATTCGCAGTCACTTGATTAACTCTTCTATTACTATAGCTTCGTTTCAGACTTCTTCTATCCGTCAGTTGGAGGTGTTGAAGCTCACATGTATCATTTGTCGCAGCGATTGATCAAGCGTGGCCATAAAGTAATGTACAAATGTTATTTGGAAATAAGTTTTCTCCTTGAATTCCTTCACTTTACTCATCTATTCCGTCCTTAAACTCTGCTCTAGGTCATAATCATCACACATCACTACAAGACACGATCTGGAGTTCGTTACTTGACGAATGGATTAAAAGTATACCATATTCCAACGACAATCGTGTATGCTGGATCAACATTTCCAACCGTGTATGGAATGTATGCCATCTTACGTGACATCTTTATACGGGAGGAGATTGATGTGGTTCATGGTCATCAAGTAAAAGACTGTACCTGTCTTTTTTTCTCGATCTTCTCCATGGACCTAATATCAATCGGTTTACTAGGCTTTAAGCAGCTTATGTCAAGAATCTATCGTACTGGCTCGCTTGCTCAACATACACACAGTGTTTACAGATCATTCGCTGTTTGGATTTGCGGACGTCAGTGCTATATTGACCAACAAGCTATTGAAGTTTGCCTTGTCGGATTGTAATGCGGTTATATGTGTCTCAAATACCAGGTATGTGTGTGTGTCCTTGTGTTTGAGAGGTAGTGCCTTTCGTCCCCAGTTGATCATTTTTGCCGCGTAGCAAAGAAAACACGATACTAAGAGCATCACTGGACCCATACAAAGTATATACCATCCCAAACGCTATTGTGGCTGACGACTTCCAACCGAATCCTGATGCAAGAGATCCACACACTGGTAAAAAAAAATTTAAAATATATATATATATGATCTGATGCGACTCCTTCAATCCCCATAGTCACAATCGTAGTAACATCCCGTCTAGTCTACCGCAAAGGCATCGACCTCCTCGTCTCAATAATCCCACGACTCTGTCACCACTTCCCCAAGGTTCGCTTCCTAATCGCTGGTGACGGCCCCAAACGAGTACAACTGGATCAAATGCGTGAACAATACATGCTTGAGTCTCGTGTTGAGCTGATGGGTGCTATACCAGCTAAGAATGTGCGGGATGTGCTTGTGAGGGGTCATATTTTCTTGAATACGAGTTTGACAGAGGCATTTTGTATTGCTATACTTGAGGCTGCTTCGTGCGGGTAAGTGGCAAAAATAGTTGATTTTGGTTCATTGATGGTTTTTCACGACGATCATTTTGTTAGGCTCTTGGTAGTAAGTACAAGAGTAGGTGGAGTACCTGAAATCCTGCCAGAGGATTTGATTCTGTTTGCTCAAGCTGATCAAGATGGTAAAGAAAGCGGAAGCACAAATCTGAACAATGTCAGCACGACACTCACATAACTTTGTATTGTTAGAACTAGTTGCTGCCGTAAGTAAAGCCATTCACCTAATCCAATCGAACGCCATCTCCCCAGAAGCACTACACGAACGAGTCAAATCCATGTACGATTGGTATGATGTGGCTGAACGGACTGAGAAGGTATTGGGAACCCCTCCAAATGTTTTTTTTTTGCTCATCCCTCACATAACTTTTAACACCAAGGTGTATGAACAAGTTATGCAAAGTCCCGAGCGATCTGTTGCAGACATGTTTGAGAGATACAAACGTGTAGGATATGTCGCTGGCCACATCAGTGTGCTGGTTGTCGCTGTTGGGATGATATATCTAGCTCTTTTGGAGTGGATTTTCCCAGCATCGACGATTGAACGGGCTGTGAAGCTTGAGATAACAGATGATTGTTACCAAGACAGGCGGCAAAAGACAAACTGATTCAAACACATGTAAATATGCAGGTAGTAGTAGAAGTGCATTAGATGTAGTATAAGTACAGTAATGTTAATTAATATATGACCAGACACTATTAAGCAATTACGTGCAGTTTCACTGACGCAAATACTGTCGGTGACTTTGCTTAAGCATACAGGCAAACAAAAAAAAATCAGTATGCAGTTGACTCCACATTAGCACCAAGCTCTGAAAAATTCCCAACAACACTACAACTACAAACGACAACCGGTGCGGTCATCTTAGATTATCCAGCAGCAATAAACGAAAATGCAGTCAAGATGGTAAACACCAAGTAAACACCACTTCACGCTGCCCTTCCCGATAAGCCTTGTTCCATAACAAGTAGACTGCAGCTACTGCGGTTTACCCTTAAACATGATTTGGGATGCTTTCAGGTTACGGAAGCGAGGCCGTTAGGGTTAATCCTACAGACTCAAGATTCCTTTTAAGCCTAGGATGGCGCTTGAGATTGCTGCCTCAAAGTTTAGGTGTAGTACGGGGCAACACGGCGATGCTTCAAATTTGAATCAAGATTCTAAAAGTAGTTGATGAGGAGTTTTGAGTTAAACGATTCAATCACGATAGATGTCACTCGTGTTTTCCGTTCATTGTCACATACCCGGACGAGTTTTTACAAGGCTCAACCTAACCAAATATTCTCAACCAGGCAACAATTCAGGTTCCTTCACAGACCACGACTGGTATAGCAAATTCTAAAAAGGGACATTCAGCAGCAAAAGAAGATCAGTCCGAAAGCTCCAATGGATCCTTTACCAAGGACTATGACCAGCTGTAACGTTATACGCCTCCAATGACGTGAGGATCGGAAAACATAAACTATTGTACAAGCAATGGAGTAACAAAGGAAGAATATGGGTTGATTTAAGGACTTCGAGCCTCCATTTTCCAGCCTCAATAGATACTTTCAGCCAGAATTGAATCGGCCGCCTCTTGTGTGTTAGACATGTGTGATAACCAACTACACCAGGGAAACGACGTGCTTGCTTGAGACAGATGACTCTCGTAGGGTCTGAGAATCTAACATGAGGTCACCTCCAGTCCAACTGCGTCAAACTCCTGCGAAGCCCGCAGTAGGCAGCACAGATTGCTATTTTGACGTTTAAGCGTAGTGCGAGGGCGCCAATATGCGGCAGCTATGTGCTGGGTCTAGGAATGATATCATTTTATCTCATACCAGCGCGAGCATCTATGTCAGCCAAATCAACTGGATATTCCCAACCACTCAACCCCGCATTACTGGTTACATGCATTACGGGAAGCATGATTTGTCTAAATACCAAAAGCTGCAAAAATGAGTCAGTAAGAGCGGGGAAAAATGTGGTTGGGCATCAGCTTCATGGGCTGAAGCCTCTACCAAAGACACCAGACTTGCAAATTGCGACGTCTGCATCACATTAAAAGTTTGGTTGTTTTGGCGTCTGGGACCAAGAACGCAGCAGTCCAAAAGAAGAAGTCTCAACAATTAGAGCCAATACAATTGTACCTTTGTTTCCAGCCAGAATTGAACTGGCCACCTTTCGTGTGTTAGACGAATGTGATAACCGACTACACCATGGAAACGATTTGCTGATAATTGTGAGTAACTGATTACATAACGGAACAGGAGCTCACCTCCAAAGCACAAACGAAAGTATCGGCACATCAAGGGTTCTAACCACTTTAGACGCTTGAAGTTGGTGCTGATTTGAAGGACGAGAGCAAGGATATGCGATGCAATTGTGGACCAAAGGCGAGTTGCACCAGCTGGTAAAACAGAATGGCTTCTTGATTCGTCCAACTTGGATGGACCTACAGACGGTCCTTTTCATCCTCATATACAGCAAACGTGTATCGCCGAAGCGATCTGGACCAACTGTGAAACTACATGACAACGAGAGAAGAGCGTAAGTTCAACATTATGACATTACAGTCAAAAAACTTCCACAATGTCCAAAACACATACCAGAAAGCGATTGGATGTAGACCTGAAAGTCGTGCCGCAGCTGCCAGTCGTACGACCACCGTAGTCCTGCAAGGTAAGGCCTCTCGGCATTGGTATCCCACGACAGGGAGAGCGCTGCTCCCTAGGTGTTTATACTGGTGAGGAGCCTGTCCTCGGGTGTTGTTTTACACGTGGGCAGCAACTACGGAGGAATGAGGCTCATCCTGGTGTATACAAGCAACCATGCGTGCAGTTGGTTCTATGAAACCTTGATGCTGGGAGTGCTGAATGGTTAGGAAATGTTTCATGGTAGGGTAGCCAACTGTGCAGTGGTTGGATTATGAATGCAGGTCTATGAAAGTGATGAATTAGAATATGATTTGATGATGAGGGAGCATAATCCTCCGTGTAAATCACAAGAGCGGCGAAAAACTGGGGTGGTAGGTGCTGCTGCGAACCCAAGTCCAACTACAACCAAACAAGCAAGAGGAACCGTCCAGATCTTGATGTACCTTCATAAAGAAACCAATCCCAGGTCTAACTCAGAATAAGGACGTGGTTAGCAAAGCAGCTTTGGACGCCATGTGATAAACCAACAAAATGTGCAAGATCTTTCAACGTTTGCAAGACGAAACGAGCTTAAATGTGTCTTGGGACGTACCATGATAGCTGAGATGCCTCTCGGGTAGCTGAGGCCCCTCTTCCTGGGCTTTCTAGCTGCAGGTTGTTTTCGACGATAATAGGAGAGATTGCCACGGTTTTTTCAGCACTTTATCAATGACGAACATAGTGATAACATTCATATATACGCGTATCAGGAGCATCCACTGCCTGAATTGGTTGTCTACCACGTCACAATTTGCTGTTTGGTCTGCTTTCGTTAGAAGAGGTAATTTCAGTCGCAAACAAGTCAAAGAAGTTCAAATTACGAAGCGTTTTGCGTAATTCACGTAAATGTACGTCTTATCGTCACGTATGAATACTCTTCCCGTACACTTTGTCCTTGCACTCATTTCTGCAAAAACATAAAAACATCATCGACGACAATAGATAGGGACCCAAGCAACCATGGTCTTCCTCCCATCAGTCGTCACCCACTCATCAAACTCTCTGGTAGTAGCTAGGAGACGGGCCCTCGAGCTATATCGAGAATGGATACGTGCGGTAAACAACATTGAATTCAACAACATTTCACTTATATTCTAACACTCGCCCATACACCAGGTCCCTGATGTAGTCGAATTCTACCAGCTTGACCTGCCTCAACCCGTCATCCGCAACCGCATCCGTGCTGAATTTGAAAAGCATCGATTTGTACGAGACCCATCAACCATTGATATACTGCTCTTCAAGGGGAGAACAGAACTAGAAGAAACTATGAATATGTGGAAGCAAAAGACTCATGTATTGAGATTCTTTGATGGCACTGAAAAGAACTCGGATAGGAAGCCTGTTGGGTATCTGGAGAAATTCTATGCTAGGCAATAGAAGGTCACAAACATAATACTTGCGGGATCATCACTTATAAAAGCTTCTACCGCTTTTTTCTTCTAAATATAGTCACGTAGAAAAGAGATGCCATCATCGTGTTGGGTAGACCGGGGTTTTTGTGGGATTCACAAGCTGCGCCGGTTGCAACTTGTTTCGCTTTTCGCGTTATTTTTTGAGTTGGGCTTTCTATATACAAAATGGCTGAAGACCTTATTGACTGGTCTGAACTCTCTGATTTCGAAGAGATTGGCCATGGAAGCTTTGGACAGGTTTGACGCTTTTACCAATTGTTTAACAGACGCGAAAGCTGACTCCCATTTTTGTTCTTCATAGGTATTTCGAGCAGATTATCTAGGAACTGAAGTCGCAGTCAAGGAGTTTCTACACATTGGTCAAGGGTTCGACTTTAAGAAGTACATGACGAGAGAGATGACAATTCTGAAAGAAAGTACGAACCGAACTTTTGTCACTTTTCGTGTCCTTTTTACTCATGACACCACTCCTTGTCTCAAGGCCGTCACCCTAACGTCACGATTTTCATGGGAGTCAGTCAAAATGGCGATAAGCTCTACATGGTGACTGAATACGTACGTTTTGAAGCATATAGCACCAAAGATAATAGCCAATAACACCAATCGTTTCCAGGTACCAGGTGGAGACCTGAAATCTTACCTGGAAGACACTTCAAAGACATGGACGTGGAGACAAGTTATTTCATTTGCTACAGATGTTGCTAGAGCTCTCGCCTACCTGCACGCTCACAACATCATACATCGGGACTTGAAGCCAACGAATCTCCTGTAAAGACCATTTCGCGCTTACAATTGATTGTTTTATGACTCGAGCTTGCTCTTTCAGACGAACTTCAACCAACCTGCAAATCTAACGCCAAACTTGATATACTATAGACTAACCGAAAACAAGCGAATCAAAATCTGCGATTTCGGATTCGCTCGCCAAACCGCCAAATCCAAAGAAGACAAACGTGCCATGTCATATTGCGGAACAGACGCATACATGGCACCCGAAATTGTGCTCGGGATGGAATTTTCCGTCGAGGTCGATATATTCTCATATGGAATCGTCCTTGCCGAGCTCGCTACACGACGAATCGCAGATCCTGATCACCATATCAAACGAGTTATACCAGGGTTTGGTGTTGATGCTGATGAAATCAGGGGCGCTGTACCATCCGACTGTCCACCGGATTTCTTGAATCTGATACTGGAGTGTACGGAAGACGATCCGGAAAAGAGGCCACAGTTGAAGGAGGTGCTGAAGAGGTTGAGGGCTGTGGAGGCGGAGCTGCCTGCTGAGGATGAGATTCATTTGGGGATGCTTAGTGGTAATAATTCATTTACAACCAGCCTTTTTTGCAGTCGTAAAAACCATCAGGCTGACATATTGACTCTTAGGATCACTGCTCCGCTCAAACACGAGTGGACTCGCCCTCAACAAACAGTTTGCAGCATCATCTGGTTCGCTACAGTCAGCTGTTGATTCGCCTTTGAAGAGCAATCTCTCAAATCCTAGTAGTGTTGACGACTTCAGTACGTATCATCGCTCTCTACCGATGAAGTTTTTGAGCAACAGTTCTTCAAGGTATCATATTTCTCACGTAAACCTTGCACGCATAGACTCAATCCATTTGGACCGCTCTCCTTCTCAGGCCCAACCAACTGGTCTTGCAACAGGCAGTATAAGACGGATTGGGCATACTATCCCTCATCGTACGTCGTCCCTCTTGGATTTTTTCCCTTACAGCATATAGAATCTTCTCAAGCCAGCTCACCAACACCTCTCCCACAGGATTCACACTCCTCCGAACACCCACAATGGTCCGCTGCGACCTCTGTCGCCACCGTGTCGGCGTAATGGAACGCCACCTAGTCTGCGACGACTGCAACTCCATCTTCCACAAACGCTGCGCCATAACAGCTCCAGCCTCATGTGGTCTTCCCGTCGAAGTCAGAGAATCCATGAAACTCTTGGCGCCGTCCGTTGATGCGCTCGATCTGACTTCATCACCTGTTTCAGACAAGTCGTCGATTAATGGGAGCAGCCCGTCTGTGAGGCTTGAAATGACAAAGGGGGAGGGAATTGGGAAGGTGCTGGCTAGTACGTCGCCGTCGAGGGATTTTACGACTTCCATGTAAAAAACGGGGGTAAATCATATTATTTAATTTTTTAGACCTTTTTATTCTTGCTATGCGGCAATAAAATATATAAACATCATCTTCCAGCGAATTTGGATATCACGGCGGTTTTTAGTCACTTGACTCAACCACCCTCCTCGCCATTACCACACCCACAAGCACCGCCGTTGCGCCCGCCGAAACCTGTATAAGCAGCATAGCCCAAACCGCATCACAGAAATCCACATCAACCTCATCCTCATACCCCACATTACACACCTCACTCAAAAACTCTTTCTCATCACTCGCAAACACACACACCAGCACCATCCCAACCAGCACAACTCCCAAAAATCCATACCACCACCTCAACACCTTCATCAGCCCCTCCGTATTGCGCATCAGCGTCATCAACACCCCAAGCACGACAGTCACAACCGTAGCACCCATTACAAGATAGTAATCAACCAGCAGCGTGATTTTACTTGCATCCACACGAAATAGCGTCTCTGACTGGTGTAATCCCAACGATCCCGTGATGATGATACCGAGCAGCTGGATTACGAGGAGAATTACAATGTTGAGGATCATTTTGGATGTTGGAATGGTTAGTGTGGTTGGGTTTGAGGAGAGTGGGTAGAAGATTAGCGGGATGGCGGGGATAGTGTAGCGGTTGCTGTCTGATGACTCGAAGGACGTCTGTGTTGTCATTGTGAGGAAGGGTGAGACGAGTGTTTCGATTCCTGTATACCGTGGTGGTGGTGTTACTGTATTGGTTTGGCGAGTGAGAAGGATTGCGGATGGGGAGATGGGTGGTGGTGGTGTTATGAAGTGCGGGCGGGGGTGCTAATGTTTGACAGGTTGGTGAGTGGTTTCAAGCGACATCAAAAACAGGCTTTCAAATATCGTTCAATGCGATGAAATGTATCCAAACTGATACTTACAACTTTAATCTGTTTCACGTCGATAAATCCAACGCTTTGTTTCAGTTTACCGAGACGGCGTGGTGAGCGACGGATTTTTGGGTGGTGGGATGTCAAGGTCTGAGTTAATACTTCAGCCATACAAAAAAGATGGTCTTTTTGATGGTTGTGCTGTGTTTGTGTTAGAGATTTGGGTGTTTTGAAAGTGATGCTACGTTTCAAGTGAAACCGTTGTCGCGCAAAGGTGTCGAAGAATGGCGTTCACGTTATTGAAATGCACGAATCTTCAACGTTGCGAGATTGTCGTGTTGATTCTCATCGTGTTTCCTCATCATTCATCTGCCGACAAAAGACGAATATGTAAGCTTTTTGTATAATACATCAGAGCAGTAGCCGAAAATACGGAAATCGATTCCTTAAAGCATGATAGACCCTCGTCCAAAATCGTATTCTCAAGTAAATGCAAACATATGTTTGGTGGAAGGGAATTCGAAATTTGCCAAGAGGCTATCTACAGAATGCAGTGGTTTAATCCAAACCGCAGTGATGCCAATACATGAATCGTGGCTGCAGAGAGTTGAATTTTCTCTCCTCGTTGCGGTGACAATGTAGAAACGCTCAGTCGTGTGCTGTGTGAGGTGTGAGTCAATAACAGCCAGAGATAAAGGGAAACATGTTTATGAGCTGATGCTATGTAGACAGAAAATGATATACCAAAACGTTTGGGCCTTCCATTACACGGTCAGATGGAAGGAATTTTTTTAGTGTTGGAATCTGCATCATGAAGCGTATTACGCGACAACTTGTCGGTCGTCGTCGTTTGGGTGATTGTATTTGGGGTCTATGAATGTAGAGGTGCTGCTTTTTAGTGTAGATTATTGCTTAAATCGCATTAACAAACATGTTTTGCATAATAAAAATATTCGTAGCTGCAATAGAGAAGCCGCTTGATGTTTCCGTCCGGACTCGAACCGGAGACCGTCTGTGGACCATTATATGTTAGACAGACGTGATAACCAACTACACCACGGAAACTCAGTTGCTTGATGGAATACTATCAATTTTAATGGGCCTTGAGTGTGATACGAGCTCACTTTGTCCAAAAAAGCGTCGCGGAAAGAAAGGACGGCCTATGGAAATGGTTTAAAAAGAATCTAGGAACCAGAGTTGTGGATGAGTCGCAAACCGCAGTTTGGGAGACCAGACGGTATGTAGGACGCAGTCGCGCTAAGGATCGCTGATCGCCTTAAGGAACGATGGTGTGTCAGTCGCGGCTCACTGGTAGTTAATATAGTCGGGCAACAAGTATGGGTTTCCTGGATGGGGAGGTGGTTGGTCATAACTAAGTTGAGGGGCTGACGCAAACGTAATTCCAATAACATATGGGGAGTAGCTAGCAACTTTAGTGGGTTTTAAGTGTTTTAATAATAGTATATTAGCGGGACTATAATCCCAGCAATAAAATGCATGAGCCAAACTGCTGCTGGCAACAAGTTGAGATGCTGACGCAAACGTACTTCCCGGGGAGTAATTTGCGACTTAAGAGGTGTTTAAGTGTTTAAATAGTGTATTTGCGGGACTATAATCCCAATAAAAAGCATGATACAAGAAAAACCAAACTGGATGAAACTAGATACTTTCCATCCAAATTCAACATCATTAAGAGATTACCAGCGATCGGTATAAACCCCCACCTACAAAGTCGCTCATCAGTCATCAACCACATTTTACAGTTCTTGCTGTCGAGACTACAAGGACCAGGACAGAGAGCACTAATCGAAACGTAAAAACTAAGACTATGGACGTGATTCATATATATGACGACCTGAAATGTAAACCAAGCGAGGGAAACTTGGGATGTGGAACTTTATTATTGTTATTGTGAATTCAGGAAAACTACTGAAACTAGGATTTCCAAGCATCTAGATCTTGGCAGCCTTGGAGCCAAGAATCTTTTCCATGAATTTACGTGATACAGCAGAGCTCTCGGGTGTCGCAGACAAGTACATCTAAAAAAAACCAAATCAGTATCAACTTCCATCTTCAAATTCCTAAAACCACACTCTCATCCATCATTACCTGGTAAACATCTTCAGCAGCAATAGCAGCACTCAAACTCATTCCATCAGCCCAATTGTTCAATTCCATCTTGGACAATCTCAATCCGTTGGGCGACAAGGACAGCATCTCGAATGCCATGTTGCGGGCAGTTTCTCGGAGCTTGTCTTCAGGGACTACGTGGTTTACGAGGCCGAATTTGGATGCGCGTTCTAATTTGACAAAAATGTAACCGTGACATCCCGTAAAATAACGTGTATAGCTTTTAACGTACCAGCATCAACAAAACACCCAGTCAAAATCATCTCGGACGCCAATCCACGTCCAACGATCTGAGGCAAGTGGAATGAGATACCACATTCACCACCAGTGAGACCTAATCGTGATGCACCGACACTGAATCTGGAGGAGGGTGTTCCGATACGGACGTCAGCGGCGAGCGTCATTCCTAGACCACCACCGACGGTGGGTCCTTGGTTGCAAGAGATGACAGCTTGTGGGATTCGTCGGAGCTTGAGGACGAGGTTTGAAAAGTTTTGTTGGCCAAGGAGCGAGTCGACTGGTCCGGGACGTGGTTTGGAGTATGCGACAAAGTCCAAGCCTAGATTGAATTCAGGTCAGTGCTGTGTTCAAATACAAGCAATGTCGACGAACGTTACCAGCACAGAATCCACGACCATTTCCAGCCAAGATGATACATCTAACTTTACGACTTTCGGGAGTAGTGTTGTTCAATTCGTCGAGCAGGCTGTGGAGCTCCATGGTCAGAGTTGGGGACAACGAGTTCAAGAATGTAGGGCGGTTGAGAATAATCCATAAGAGTTCGCCATTGTGCTCTTCGACGAGCTCCAGAGTTTCGAGCTTGCGCTTGCTATATATAGAGGATGAGATTAGTATTGCGGATCAGGCTGAAACGTTGGAAATGTTGAACTGCGTTGTATTTGTGTTTGGTAGCAAAGTTCGGTCGCTACAACTGCCGATGTAGGTCTAGCACAAGCCAAACATACCTGAATGGGACAAACATGTTTGATATAGCTTTACAGTAGGTTTAAATAGCTTGTTGCGTTGTAATGGGTTGTAGGTGGTGCACGAAAAAGTTGTGGTCGTCACTTTCCAAAACTCGGAATCATGGTTCACCCCAAGCGAGGAAAAAGCTAGCCGAAGCATTCCAGTAAGAATCAGGCCACGGATTCACGGTGCTGGTAGTGGACAATTCATGCTAACGCGGTTGCATTTAGGATCAAAAACCACCTCATAATCCCTTTTCTCGCCCAAGTTTTGTTGTCAACAACCAACATCATATCAGCTCAGTGGCGACACCTGGGATCAACACCCAAGATCTTTCAGCAGTCTACAATTTACCCTTATCAAGTCGGCTCTGCATCAAACCTTGGTAACAAATTGCGCAGGAACCTCCTAAAACCTCTCAATTTTTCGCACCACTCCCACCTCTCTCACTCCATCTGGAGATGCACAAACACCACCTCTTAATATCCCTCATACTACTCCCCCCGCTCTTCCTCCCACTTGCCTTCTCATCACCGTCCTGGACCCTCTACGCATTAGCAGCCGACAGATACTGGAGCTCAGTATCATACAACGACGCAACATGCAGCGGCAATTGGAGCGCATCTGCAACGCTAGGGTATATGCGATCTCTCCCTCAAAAACCTCCCCATCCAAAACCTCACACGATTTTACAGTCTAGGCTGCCTGCCCTCCTCAACATCCTACACTCTAGCTTCCTGCACCTCCCAGAAACTGACACTCTCAAACTGCACTGATGCTATGTGTACATCGTGTGTGTCAATTGGTGCGTATCAGGGAGAGTGTGATGCTGGCACCAGGTATATGTGTGGTATGCCGTATCAAGCACCCACTGCGTACGCTGAGACGGTGACGATCGGTGGAGATTGTGATGATACGGCCAAGTTCTTGGCTGCGAGTGTGTATGCAGTGGGATCGTGTGTTAATACAGGGACGTTGTCGAGTCCTGTCTACAAGGTATACCGCATTCGTAAGAGTATATACATGAGATAGTGTTCATTAACGCAATTTAATACAGAAAGTGAATTGTAACGGCTCCATACCAATTGTGCAAAAGGTAACGTAACTGGCTTCGTTAGAAACCAGACCCATTCTTACCAACGTTCTCGTCTTACCCAGTGCTCTGAAGACACATGCACATTTTGCCAGGCATACAACAATATCTCGTATCCATCATGTGGGAGTGGAATGTTTGCGCAACAGTAAGATATACTTGATCGCGTCGTTTCATTCGATCTACGCCTAACTTGTTGGTTTTGTAGAGCATTATGTCTTGCCACAACTAGTGGAGTAAGCTCCATATATTCGTATAATAGCGTTTGGATGCTTGTGGCACTAGTTATATCTCTGTTTGTGCCGTAACGCGACAATTCTCAAGTTTAATATACAAGTACACATTATAAAGACAGTTTTACGCGCTCCAGCCAACACGAAACACGTTACGAAACTTGCGCTCCAAATCCCTGCCCACAAGCAACACCTGCCCCTCGCAGTCCTAGTCTCAAACCCATACAAAATCCACCCCACACAGCACAATGAGCAGCACCGGCATACTCACAATAATCATAATCCTCATACTCGGCGCGGCAGCTCTCCTCTCATTCGGCACATCATCCACCATCACCACCACAACACCCGTTGACTCTCTCATAACATCACAACCAACAACATCAAAAAAGAAGAAACCACCACCAGCATCCAAAAAGAAATCCAAACCTGAACCCGAGCTAGAAAATCCCGCTGCTGCATCCGTCAAACCTGTTCTGGAAGACGAGGACAATGGCACAACATCACGGCATCTGAATGTCGAAAGCTCTGTACAATACGAAGAAGAACAGCCGCATCGTGTGGCTGAAGATACATCATGGTCGCAGGTTGCCAGTACGTCAATCACTTGTCTCTTTTTTGTAGCTGAAGCTCACAAACGTTTGTTTTAGAATCAGGAGCTCCCAAAATGAAGGAACTCAAACCACGCACGCTTGAATCGTGGTCTACTGTTGCTAGTAAACTTCCACACCACTCTTTTATGCCTCTGCGACATGCATCTCACCAAATACGTTTTGATAGAATCATCTATAGACACACTATCACGTCACGACGACGATGAGGCCAAGGACGCATCATCATCATCTGCTGGCAGTACGTATCTCTGTTATCTCAAACGTGTAAACTGCAGAATCTAACAACGTCATATAAACGAAACCACAGAAACTCTACGCATCCTCCCTCCCACCACCAAACCACCCCAACCACAACACCGTCGCACCTACACGCAGCAAGAAGAAGTCACAAAGAAGCAGCGTGAGAATGCGCATAAGAAGGAGCAGGCTGCTAGAGCAAAAGTAAACGTCTTCATACGCCATCATCTATTTCCAAAAGTCTGATGCTTTGTTTTTGATAGGCAGAAGCCCAAGCAATTCAAGAAGAGCGCTTGAAACACCACCGTGCCGAGCAAGCGCGACTACGGAACGAGGCTGCGAGGAAGCAGGCGCTTGAGCAGGAGATGCATCGGTTGATGCAGAGGGGGGCTGTGTTGGAGGCAAGTCGTACTAGATAAAGGTGTTGTGGTGGTTGTAAATATTATAAAAAAATACATACGTGTAGACTCGCAACATTGCTCTTCTTACTCTCCTTTGCAAACAGAAACAAGACAAGAAAAGCATCGTATGCGTGAAAAAGCTATTCGTTTATTGTCTCTATATAGAATCACAAGTGCAAAGTATAGAAGAAAGAACACCACTACCACCACTACAACTACCACCAACGAAACCTCAATAAACAAATCTTATGTTTTTTCTTCTTCTCAACTACTAGTTGTACCAACCGACGCATCAGACGGTGTCGCAGAATTGAAATGTGAAAATGTCGATTTACTCAGGAGGCTGTCGTGTTTGCTCTTCTTCAACCTCCTGTACCGTCTTTCCAGTCTTGACCTCAATGTCCTTTTTGATTGCGTCGGCCCATTCTGTTAGACTCTTGCCTCTGAGAATAGCCACGATTATAACAGTCATGTTATCGCAACCGACACCACCCAATTCAGAATCTGAGGCTAGACAACGATCCATTATTTGTTCACATATTGAGCCGAGGTTTCCTCGTGTTGTGGCGATTCGGACACGGACAAAGTCGACTACGTCTTGGTTTGACATGCAGTCCCAGATACCTGATAGGATTCAAATGGTTTGTGTAAACAAGGGTGGACTTTGACAGGCAAAAAAATCGACCATATATATATTACAAACCATCACAGGCCAACACCAGGAACTCATCATCTTCAGTCATTTGTCGTGTGATTATCTCTGGATTGACGGTGACTATTTGATCTTCGGCTGGTAGTTGTGGGCTCTGTTTAAAGTCAAAGTCGCCTATGGCCCTTGATAAAGCCAAGTTTCCTGCAAAAAAAGTGTCAGATGAATTTGAAGCGTAATGCTTCTGTTTCAGTTTTTCTGTCATCATACCATTGACACGTCCAAACTCCACAAAGCCGCCCGCGGCAACGATTCTCCTTGACTCTTCTAATGGGATGAAAATTTGAGTGAGATGTTTCAAGGTCGCCAACATGCAAAAAAAGGGAAAGAAATGGCAGGACTACGCCGGAAACGGCATACAACTCGTCATTACATACAAACATACCTGGATTGACTGGCTTGTGATCATACGACATGGGCTCAGCAACGCCCTTGACAGACAAGACAGCTCGAGAATCTCCAGCATTCCCACAAATAACTTTGCCATCATCTGTGAGTATAGCACATACAGCTGTACACCCTGATGGATCATTAACAAAGGCCTTATCTAAAACAACAAAGTGTCATCACAACGCAAAAAACAATCCCATATAAAGGACTAATGCTAAAATCCATACCAGCTCTCAAATCCACATCAATACCCAAATACCCCGATCGTATCGACTCTTCAAAGTTACCCGCTATGAATGCAGGATCACTTGCTATTCGATTGTGGAGCTGACTTCCTGCGTACTGAGCTACAGCTGCACCACCGTGTCCGTCATAGACAGCAAAGAAGGCGACAGTTGGAGGTTGGGTTGGTGGAGATGGTATATGCGACGGGGTTGTTAGTCTCAATAGTGTTGTGTGGGCGTCTTCCATGCCTGACGAAAGAGGAGCAAAAAAGATTGTCAGCAACGCATACACGCTTCATATGATGATCATTGCAACTCACTTATTCTCCACCCCTGCATACTAGAAGAACCCCATGCGTATCTGGTGTCTTCGGCGCTTTCTGTCTCCTTGTCGACTATTGGTTCTGATAGTGTTTGACCCATCGTATAATAATATGCTAGAAATTAAATGAGATGTATAAAAAGTGCCCTATGATAACAAGTGCATGTTGTTAGTTCACACATATGTCGCGTTTGTCCTACAGTCGTCGCCCACAAAATAATTTGTCTGTTTTGATTGCTTGTCAAAAGTCAAATGCATTCGAATCAAGAGATAAGATCAAAAAAGATGGTGTGGCAGCTATGACATCCATTTCATTGACGGAAACCAAACATCTTGACAATTCACCATTTTGGATAATGTCGCGATGGGTTTGCCACGACATACATCCAAACATACAAGGTACAGTACATTCAAGGTTACCTTTAATAATATAAATCCAATGAGTGGCTGCTGGCTGCTATAGTATTCTACTAGATGAGCAAAAGAGAAGCGAACTAGATTGTTTTAAAAGGTGGGAATGAGTGAGCAAGTTTGTTCAATGTAAGTTCGTCAGTGGAAGTAAGAGCAGACTGTAGTATAGGCGTACTTGATGCTTCGCCTTCTTGTAGTTATTACACGGTGACTGCTCACCTCTACTGCTGACGGCCGATTTTTAAAAAACGAAACGGCATGTGTAAAGTTTTCGCTACTTGAAAACCAGGCTTGAAAATATAGGAATTGTATGGATATTTAGACGTGATTTACACCATCTAATCACCGTTACAATCGAATTTGTACGAGCGATTCCAATGGCATGTGCTTGCTCAGCGTGAATCGACGTCATTGCAAGATCTTGAACAGAAGGTTTTGCTTCAAATTATGAGCCTGCGAATATACTCTTAAACACCAGTACTTTCTTAGACCGATTGGTTTATCTCTTGTAGCTCAAATCCAGTCTTTCTTCCGCTCCAAACTCACACCTGAACAACCAACCAATTCACATGGTCTACTTTTAAACTAGCAACAACTGCCATGGCTCAAGTAGCTGGCACCGTGAACCCCGATACTTCAATCGGCCAACAACAACCATCATCAACCACCACAATCCATAACGCTTCTTGGACGAGATTTCGGGACTTGATTGCCACAATCGTCGGTGGTCTACAGGCCGACGTCTCATTGCAGCACTGGACTGCAAATCTAGCCGGAACTAGCGCTCTCTTGGTGTTTACATACATAACTCTGGGCTCGGTGATCGAAATCTCATGCAACCAGATCAAGCGATTGGCACCATCGGCAGCAGCCAAAACAAGTAGCATAGGTGCCAGACCAGTTGTATCGCCTGCTAGAGCATCGGTGGTAGTGCCTCCACCAAAGATCACTACAATTGTCGCAAAACCAGTAGCTCGTACAAAGTGGCTGTTCAGGCTCGTATCTACTGGAGGCATGCTATTTGTAGCGTATCGTGTATGTGTATGGTATGCTATGCGTCAGATTAAACCTAGACCGGTACGTGCTTTGTTGTATGGTTTGGAAAAAGTCTGATTCTTGTTAACAATTGTCTCACAATGTATAGATCTTAAAAGTTCCATCACGGACGGCGTCGCTTGTAGTGGCACCTCCAGCTATTGTACAGATATCGAAGCCTGTTGTGCCTGTTACGGCTGAGTCCCCCGTTGTGGTGGCTAGAGAACTGCCAGCAACATATCAACCTGACGTTCTTCCTGACACATGCCCCGAGTCTCCGCCACCACCATATACTGAAAACACGGCTATAGCACCGATTTCCAAAGGAATAATAGTCGAAACGCCAAACACATTAGTAAACGCAGTCGTCATGAAAGCGCTCGATACTGTAAAACAGGACATATTACAAGACGTATCAGTCAAACAGGCTACCAAGAATGTAGGAAACTTGCCACCACGTGCAGAAACTCCAGATATACTACGCAGACAAGACCAAGTATCGAAAAGATCCGGCACTCCACAACCAGTGGCAGTGGTGCAACATCGACCTAGTTTACAAACCGCTGATTCAATACGTAGCATACCGTCAGGCAGTGCCCGTCTTGTATTTGACAAGAAGGGAGCATCAAAATCTCGAACACAAGCAGCAGAGCCACCCAAATCAGCATTTGAAGGGTATCGAGTCATTGCTCGTCCGACTGATGGGTCAGCGCCGATTCCACCTACACGGACGATAATGGATAAACGGTTTGGGAGGAGTAGTACTGTGCGTCCGTTTAAAAAGACGTTGCCATTGCCACCTGGTACGGAAGTTTATATTTCATTGCAAATATGCTCTCTGTTTCTGCTAGGTTCAATTTTCTCAACCATTGTATTTATTTTTAGGTACTTCTACTCCAGGTGGAGTCGTACGGGAACGCCCACCAGTTCCATCACTCTCCGGCTACAACACCGTAGCCAGGTTCTCAGACGAGGCCGTGCAAGCCCGACGCCAACAACGTGTCGACGAGAGCAGCAAATCAACTTCAGGCAGAAGCACACCAGTGCCCCAACCTATAATAACACGCCCAGTATCCCGCATGTCGGAAGACGCACCCTCCATCCCGTCCATATCACCATCCCTCGAAACAGACGATATGCTAGGCTCCATCATGAGCGCCATCGAAAAGGACGTCGTAGTTGAGCCTGAGTTGATACTTGATCATGTAGAGATTCGACCGCCGCTTATCAACATGCATGGTGTCGAGCAACCTGTGATTGTAACATCGCCGGTAACTTCAACACCATCATCGCCTATAATGAACTCAACGGAAGTAAAACACAGTCCAAGTCCCATAGCATGGCAGTACACGCCTGAAGGACGGCGTATACTGGCGTGGGAGATGCATCCTAATCGTGATGAATGGGCCGATCCGGTTACGAGGCAGGACGTGCAGGTTGGTGGGGACGAGAGGGTGTGTTGGGCTGCTGTGAGTATGCAGGGGTGGCGAGAAGGTATGTGAAGCTGTTGTGAAGTCGTGTTTTGACAAACCCATTAAATACTCTTGGGTTTTTCGCTCCGTGTGCATTATGTCTACATCAATTTCTATCACGTTTGTCATGACTCATGTTCTCTTCTATTTCATTCAACCTAGAAATGGAAGACGAACATACCGCAATCCTAAACCTATCATCTACAACATCTCTATCCGACATCTCTTCACCAGCTACAAACGCATACTATCCCAAAGTCAAAGTCCCTGCATGTTCATTCTCATCGTCCCCAGTCTCGCTCTTTGCAGTATTTGACGGACATGGTGGTGAAGCATGTGCCAAGGTAGCGTCGCTCGGCCTCCCGCTCCGAGTCGCACGAGACGAAGCATTCAGACGCGGAGACTACAAATCTGCGTTACGGAATGGGTATCTGGGCGTTGATGCTGATATGCAATCAGGTAATACATTCAGTTCTAAAGCTGTCTTTTTGTTGGTCTGCCATAACACACTTTTTTTCGCAGATCCAGAACTAGGCCAAGACGTCGCAGGCTGCACAGCCGTAACAGCTCTCATAACACCCGACTACAGAATCCTCGTCGCAAACGCAGGCGACTCTCGTGCAGTGCTCTCATCATCAGGTGACGCGCTCCCACTCTCATTCGATCATAAACCCACCAACCCAGACGAGTACGCACGTATCCGTACAGCTGGCTCGTTTGTGGAAAACGGGCGTGTGGATGGGAATCTGGCGCTAAGTCGCGCGCTTGGAGATTTCGAGTACAAGCAGAACGTCATGCTGAGTCCTGAAAGGCAGATCGTCACGGCGAATCCGGATGTTGTGGAGAGAAGGTGTAGAGATGGGGATGAGTTTGTGGTGCTGGCTTGTGATGGTAATGCCTTGATGTTCACCATGTGTTTTTTTGCACATGGAAGCAAAACATTAAAGTGTTGTATACTAGGTATATGGGACTGCATGACAAACCAAGAATGCATTGATTTCCTGCGCCAGTGTATCGTGCTCTCCACACACGCAAACCCAATCCAGGATGCGTCTCAACAGCTGCTGTAGGTTCTTTAGTCACGTTTGGAAGCTTGCATTTGATACTGAATCTTTATATTAATTTCTTAAAGGGACTACTGTATGGGGTCTAGTCCTGATGACTATTGTGGAACGGATAACATGACGGTTCTTGTGGTGGCGTTGTTGAAGGGCAGGAAGGTGGATGAGTGGGTTAGTGATATACGGAGAAGGTATTTGATTATTGTTGACAAAGTCGTTTCGCACTTGTGATTCTGATAAAGTTTTTGTTATAGGATGGCGACAGAACCACCACGCCGTACAAGCCAGCAAGTTACACCACCTCTAAGTCCAGCTCCATGACACATGTATTATAATTAGTTAGAAATACTTCTTTACAAATATCACAAAAACACACATCAAAATCACACCAAGATTACGACAGATTACGACAGATGTACTTGGATTCCGACCAAACGCCCTGCTGACTTAGTTTGTTTCGAATTAGATAACGCAATTCATGCAGGACCCCAACATATTGATACAGACCTCTGCTTCAACCAAGCCTAGAACCAGCAGCTACAATGCCCCAAAGCTGACAAGACTTTATGTTCTGCAGGTGCTTGCTGCTAGAAAATCTGGATCATCGGCACAACCAGCTGTTGAGAGATTTCCTAGAGACAAGGAATTTCGCCCTAGGTGGAAACTGGACTTGTTAGATGCTTTTGCTGATATCGTCAATGGGGAGAATGCCTGCACGGCCTGCTACCTGAGTGAATCGGAAAGGGTGATATATCTATCTGTAAATAGTGATCACAACCTTGCTAGAACTGTGGAATTTACAAATACTGAGTGGAACAAGATGAAAAAGATTACTACTATCAAAGACGTAACCCATGTAAACAGTCGTGACTGCGATGCTCTCGTCACTGAAATCTTACACACTCGTACCAAGTATTTGAAGGCTTTGCTGAAACGGAAGACTCCCAAGCAATCCAGAATATACTACAATTGTGCCAAAGTCTGAAAATCCACAAAACAGCTTTTGCACCTTTCTTCGAGGTTGTAAAACTTCAATGGATGCACTTGTGACTCTGACAGTGTTTTGTGATGTAGGATGGCAACCAAGGAAGTTACACCACCGCTAAGTCCAGCTCCATGGCAAATGTAGCATAACTAGTTAAAAGCAATACTATAGAAAGCACACACACACATGAAAATAGAGCCTTGATTTACTTTCCACACTGTGTATATAATACTCCTCACGATATCTACAAAACACTAACTAACTCGTTATATAATGACTAGTCTTACTCGGCAGCGCCGGCAATATCCCTTTCTCAACCAGACTCGACAGCCTCTTTTCTCTATTCTGCTGTACTTGCACCTGTACCTGCTGCTGATGATGATCATGTATATTCGGCAACCGCACCCGCTCGTCCTCCTTCCCATCGTCATGCGTGACTCTCCTCAAGAATGTCGGTTGTGCCCAATGCGTCGCGCTGACTTTGGCATTATGTCCTCCAACATTGACAACAGTCGCTGCGACCGTCGTCGGTACAATCCCAGCCGCTGCTGCTGCAGCAGCTTCACGACGTCTGCGTCTGCGGCGCGCACGACGCGCCATTTCCTCGTTGCGGTATTCGCGCAGGTCGTGGCCGTTGGCGGCGTATGCTGGTGCTTGTGCTTGTTGTTGGGGTTGTGGGAGTGTGGAGACGCGTAAGGGGGAGTAGTCTGTGGATGTCGATGAAAGGGTTGAGGTTTGAGATATGCGGCCGGGAGGGAGTTCGATGTGGTTTGGTGGATGTGGTATTGGGTGTTGTTGTTGGATGGTGCGGATGGTTGGTTTTGGTTGTTGTGTGGCGCGGATTAGCAGTTCCTCAGTGTTATTGTTGCGGTAGCTCCATTTGAAGGCGTTGGACGCGTATGTTGTGCCTCCTTGTGGCGGGTGTGAGAGTCGTGTATGGTTGTTTGAAGTTGGTTCAGGTGGTGATGTGACGTGTGGCTGTTTGGCGATCTGCGAATGGCGGAGGTTTACGGATATTTGGGGGGCGTCTGATGCTGGTGCGCCTGCTATGCGTGTTAAACCACCTTGCTGTTGTTGCTGTTGAGATAGTTTTGTTCGTACTTGCTGCTGCTGTTGTATTGTTTGCTGTTGATGTATACCCTGCTGCTGCTGTTGCTGCTGCACAGCCTTTCCAAACTGTGTACTGCCATATTTCTTCACAGCCAGATTCTGAGACGAAGCTTTAGCAACACTTGCATATTGCTTCTTCTCTGGCTGAAGACCCTTTTCTGCACGTGCAGAAAGCTGCTTGTTGGCACCACGATTTATCTTGACGTCAACGATCTCGTGGTGCTGTGGCTGTATCAGTTGTGCGGCAGGAGGTAGGTGTCCTACAGAAGCTTTTGATTTCTGGCGTTTCACGTAAGTGTTTCCGATATGTGGTGGTGTTACTGATGCAAGAGCAGCTGCATGAGCGTCGGTTATAACAGCAGGTTTGGAGTTTGATTGTGCTAGTGGTGGTTTACCGTGTTCGACATTTGAGCGAGCGATGAGGTCTGCGTTCGGAATTGGTGCTAGTGGTGGTGATGGTTCTTCAGCGTCGCGGAGGAAGGGGTGCCGTAAGCATTGTCGTGCTGTAAGTCTAAAAGATAAAAAGTTTAATATTGTTATTTCAAACTGTCTTGAAAAGCAAAAGAAACCGTTTGCCATACATAACGCCAGCATACCTTTCGTCAGGATCATACGACACCATCGCACAAACCATATCCTGACACTCCTTACTAAACCCACTCATCAAATTCATCAACCCATTACTACTATTCCCATCCGCATGCGCTTTAATCCCACTAGCCTGCAACTGTGCCTGTCCCTGTTGCAGTAACGCACTTCCACGTCCACCAGCACCAACCATCCGCCTCAGCAGTTTCTCATTCGGTGTTCCAATTATAGCATGGATTCGTGCAAGCTGATCGACCTCGTTAGCACCGGGAAATAGTGGATTTTTGGTTGTGATTTCGAATAGAACGCAACCTGCGCCCCATATATCCATAGGTGCACCATATCGGCCGTCTGCAATGAGACATTCGGGTGGTCGGTACCACCGTGTGGCAATGTATTCGGTGTATGGTGGGCGAGAGTGGATTCCGCGACAGCTGCCGAAATCGGCTAGTTTGATGATGTGGTCTTTGACCAATATGTTCTAACAAAAAAAATGAGGACAGGCTGCTATAAGTAGGAAGTGATACTTGTACGGTACCTCAGGTTTAATATCACGATGAAAAATCCCTTTGCCATGCATGTACTCTAGCGCTCGACATATCTGCAAAAAGTAGAATTTACAACGTGTCTCTGTGACATCTGCAGCAGCGTTTTCTCGAGTAATCAGTTCGTAGAGATTGCAGTCCATGAGTTCAAATGTTAGTGATAGGACACCTGCTCGTGTATCACTAGAGTGAAAAAAAACTCAGCATGTGTGGGCTCAAGAAATGCCTGGATGGGACTTACAATACAACCTCCTCCAAATCTATTATATGTCGATGCGGATTAAGCCTCCTCAATGCCTGTATCTCTCGCAGACTCTCTACTTCTTCCATACTATTAAATGTGCGTGTCAGATTCAAATACCTATGACCTCAATTACAGGAGACGACACACCTCTGAAAATGCTTCCTAAACCTCTTCATAGCATATATTTTTCCAGACCGTTTATGTTTCACCTTTAGCACTTCAGAAAACGTCCCCTCTCCCAACTTGCTAATGAGTCGAAAATCTAGATGAAAATTCGTGTCAGTTCATCTATCAGCAAACTGTAACACCAACAGAGCACATATATCACCATCAAGACGTGACCCAGTAGTGGATGTATTATTCCCATCTGATCCTGGCCTCGATGTTGCTGAAACCACATTATTATTCGTGTTTGCGTAAACTGGTGCTGCTTCATTTGGTGCAAAGTCTTTGGCACCTGCAGAATGAGTACGTGTCCCGTCTGCAGTATGCATCGCAGACTTTTTTCAACAAGTGTTGGCCACCCTAGGAAAAGGTCACGTCTTCCCCAAAACGAATCGTGACGCGGTTGCTTTTGCTTTTGATTCCTGTGTTTTTTTTACCCTCATCCAATCGAGAATTTGAGGGTGTTTCTGGGGGATGTGGCGATGAGTGATAACGTCATCACAACGTGGGAAAAGCTATGTCATGCGCTAATTCACGCGGTAATATACAAGATCAATCGAACCAAACAAACTTCGATGGCATGTGACGCTCGTTGAATTTAACACACTACGTGCTGCAACGACAACCACACTTAGGACGAGAAGAAGGCAAACCATGAAAACAGGAGTAAATTTGCCAAATCCAGCCTCGAAAATGGTGCAAGTACTCGATTGTGTGCGATAAACGAAACTGCGTCCTTTTAACAGTTCGTCCTCAAAACACGCCGATTCTCGAATAATTGCACACCTCTCGTAGCAGCTTGCACGACAATAAGCAGTACAAATTCAGATAGGAGTTTGAAAGCAACAATTTATACTGACAATTGTTTTAGTTTCAACAATTCCACTCGCTCCAAACGTTTCTGACATTCCAGATTGAACTTAAGACTACGTCTTCACAGGACACAGCAAAACCATACGGAATCCATTGACTATAATTTAACGTTTATTGGCGCGCATCAGAGACATACAAACTTGAACCACTCCAACCTCTTCACATTCTCACTAAACGGCACCCCATTATCATCATACTCAATCTCACTCCACACCCACGGCTGCATCTTTCTCAACGTCCTAAGCGCCTTCCGACACTCCTCCTCCCTGCCTACAATGTAACTGGTAGCCCTCGCAAACCCCAGATAACTGCCACCATGCGTCGGCACCTGATTCACAACCCGCTGATAATACATTGCAGCGTTGGAAGCCAGTACACTTCTCGTCTTTTCCATCTTCTCATTCTCCCCCTCATAAGCCTTCATCCTTCCAAGATGACAGTCAGCAAGCGCCATAGCGATATCTACAATACATGGCTCAAGTGCCAATGCAGCTGTATAAGCTTCCGCAGCTTTGGCCCACAACGTGCGTGTTTCAGCAACACTGGCACCATTCTCACCCATCAGCCACATCAAATCCCCCTTATCAGTCAATGCCTCCACACACTTCTCATCACGTCCAATAACAGCATCTAGATATGCCAATGCTTCCTTCGCTTCCGCTACATTATACGTGATTTTCAGTTTGGCGGTTACGAGTTCAGCCTTCCGTACCCACACTTCCATATCTGACGGACATATCACACTAGCACGATCCAGCAGTCCAAGAGCTTTAAGATATAGTTCTTCGTTAAGCAGTGTCGAGAACGCCAATATCAGTATCTCGGCATGCGTGGTAAGCGTCTGTGACAGCACGCTCTCGGTGACGGATTCTTCGATTACAGCGGTATCGTATACGTTCATATCGGGTTCATCAGTTTCCATATCCTGCTGTGGAGGAGCGTCTTCGACGACGGGAGATATTTCAGAGCGCTCTTTGGCATCGTTTTGAAACTTTTCGTACTGGACGACAAAAACCCAGTCCAGTATCGACGAAGCTTCTTCAAGCATCTCCATAACACCATCAGAGCTACTCTCAGCCTGCGCGAATAGCGTCGTGGCAAGCATATACCCGACATCGGCATTCCTGGCATCAGTAGCTAGTATAAATCTAAATCCAGATGCAGAGTCATGTAATAACACAGTCCTTTCTTGCGGTGATGGAGCTGGATCCTTCATTTCAGCTAGAACCTAGTGCAAATTAGAAATTTTCAGTGTCTACAACAAGAAAGTTAATAGGTGATTATGGGACGCCATACCATCCGTAATCTCGAAACATTAAACACAACATCCAAATCATTTGGCTTCTGTTTAAGCGCCATATTGTATAGATCCAGAGCCTTCAGGTAAAAGCGAAGGGCCTTTTCTCCACCTTTGTATCGTTCGCCTACATATTGCTTGAATGTCAAAACAATAAGTTTGATATTTGTCAAAAAAGGAGCTACTTTACCCTTTTCTTCAGTATCACTTGCGAGCTCTACTAAATCATCGTATTCAAGTTCGCTTGGAGTAGCTTCCTTGCGCTTTTTAGGAGCCATTGGTGAAGCTTTGTCTACTTTTGTCAATTGGAGTGTGATTTTTTTCGCAAGTCAAAGAATGCGATAATGAAAAATTGGAAACTTGAGTGCAACGGGACACCATTCTAGCTCAAATAAGAACGTTACAGGCGATTATATCGTGCAAATCGCGTGCCAAACAATCGTCAGCAAAAAAAAAGCAGACATGGAAAGTGAATCCATGAAAGGTAAGATTCAGCTCTATATCTCATCAGGAATTTAAAATAAACTCAGCAACTCCATCCCTGCCACCACACCATTCAAACACCCTCCTCAACTCCTCACCGGATACTTCACTCAACCCAACAAACAGGCACTTGACACAAGTCTCATACAACGTATCATCCTCACAAACCCCACAATTAACCACCTTCAACGCATCCCTTGCAGCATGAAGCGCCACCCTTCCATCCCTCCTCAAAAACCTATAATTCAAATGCTCAATACACGCCTTCCGTAACCCATCACACAAGAAGCGATCTGCTGATCTTAATAATCCAATAACTGTATCCAGATCCGGGATACTAGAATATGTGTCTTCGTCTTCGTGTACAACCCATCCAAGCAGATTCTTCATATCCTGCAACGACATTTGATGTACAGCGACTTGCGTCGCACCACCGTCCTTGTATCGTGTGTCGGAGAGCATTGTGGACATTACGGGGGATACGGAGCATGCACGAGAGCGGGATATGATGAGGCCTTTGTGTGGTGTGTCGTCTAACGAGGAGGTTATGAGTGTTAACAAATGCACAAAAAATGACACTTTGTAGTATTGGATGGCACTTCATTTTACCAGGCACAACAAGCACAACTTCGTCACCCTTCAGCTCAATCCCATCCAAATCTCGAACCACAAGTCCCTCCCCATTCTCAACGACACAACACAACAGCTCATGACCCTTCCTACAAGCTTCTAGCAAAGAATCATCAGCAGTCCAGCTCTGCAAATGCGTTATAGCCACCCACTCAATAGCCAGCGCAGCATACAACCGTCTCGTATCGTCCGTTTCAGAGAGCAGTATATCAATGCACATATAAAACGGACCACCTGGTTTAAGTAATCCAAGTTCATTGTATCGACACGGTGGAGTCATGAGTATTGATGTGACGGATACTTCTTGTGCTCGTTTTAAGGCGTCTATATCCGTTTCTTCCCGTGATGTTTCGTTATCATTCACCTCAGCATCAGTAGCAGCGACATCAATCCTCCCCTCCATCTTATAAAACCCAAACGCCCTCACCAATGAACTTGCAGTCCCACTAGCCTCCCAGTACAGCACACTAATCAATGCAGACAAGTCTCTCGAGTCACCAGCATATATAGTAGGCACCAGATCAAACTCTACATTCTGCGTCCCATGAATTCGATAATGCCGTATAAAAGGCATCATTATTTTGCATGCTCCGAATGTCTTGACTAGTTCGTGATATGCGTCTTCACTTAATAGGAGGATTCGCAGCACACGGAAACATGAGAATGAGACATCGATATCACCGGGGTTAGATGGATTCGATAGTGCGATCTGTGCTAACAGTGGGATGCATGTTTGTGTATCGAGAATGTATGATTGTGACGAGTGCATTTTGGATGCTACAACGAGTGCTTGGGCAGCTGATACACTTATTGATGTGGGGAGCAACTTGTTTACGATTTGCGGCGTGTCGAGCGATAAGTCGAGATGGTAGTTCATGTTGGTGTGTATGGACCATAGTCTGAATACGGATGCGACGATACCGATGTTGGTACTATTTATAGGAAAAAGACGGGCGAGACAAGAGTCTTTGGCAGATCCGATAACTAAGTCCAGAGATAGTTTCAAGAGTGATGTTAAAGCGCCATTCAAACTAGCTGGCCTAATACTAGTACTGCCTAACAGCACATCACATAATCCATTCACAAGAGTCACAACCATGTCCACAAACGTCCCTTCTCTAACCAGATTCCGCAGATTCGCTTCCTTAGCCAGTAATGTATGACATTCAACAAATAAATTAATCCTCTCTGCATTCCCTCCATTCAGTAAAACAGGACACCATCTAACATCTCCTAAATCCCTCGCACACATCCCGCCAAGCATTTGTCGACACGACGATGCCGAAATCCCATCTCTCAGTAACTAATAAAGCGAGTTGAGCCATAAAACGATTATGAAATGATTGCACGTACTCTTCATAAACATACCTCAACAGCAACCTTCATCGCTCTGACATGCATCTTCTCACTCACATTCCAAAACGCCATGCACTGAGCAATACCAGCACATGCAGCACCTGCGACATCCTCCCACGGCAGGATCCTAAACATTCGTCTCCCACTCTGTATCGACAAGACACACGCCAACAATTTCATGACTTTATCCGTACACCCAACATAAACTTCAACTTGTCTCATCGTATTAAAGAGACGTGTAAGTGCTTCAACAATGCCGAGATTCAATACAAGTTCGATATGAGGTATGGTTGGCTGCAGTGTGTTGACAAGTATCGTGAGTATAATGTTTAGCAGATCAGGATGGAGAAGCATTTTAACAAGCTCCAAATCCATTTTGGCGTCAGTATTGCTCCAATTAGCGATCCCATCAGCACACAACACAACCAAATCCGTAACGACACATGGAATCACCTCAACATTCCTGGCCTTTTCCAAATCAGAGAGCACAATCACATTAACACACCTAGCTATACATGCTAACTCTTCAACCACATACGGCCGTGTTACTGCGACGACATTATTGTTCTGTACAGCCATAGGCTGCAATACAACATCCGGTATCCTACACGCGAGTCTAACCACCCGGCCATAGTACCCAACAGCACCACACACATCATCTAGCCTTCCAACCATCCGCGCCTTCAATATTCCTGATTTATCACAAGCTATAGCCAGCGCACGTACACAGTACCACATATACGTGGTACCCAGGTCGGAGGTTTGGTTTGATTTATAGATACGTGTGAGCGAGTCCACCACACTAACATATATCCCATACGAGGCATCGATGGTAGACTTATGACACCGGTACGTAACTTCATCCAACAATCTAGCCGCACGTACATTCAACTCGTTGACTTCATGTGTGTCAAGCACGTGTGTTAGGGCATGCAACACAGCACCAGCTGGGAAGGCAGATGATGCAGCCAGCCTGCTGAGCAAATCAAGTCCGATTGTGGTACAAGGCGGGTGTGATAGCATGGAAGTCGCGAGTTCCGTGACTCCATGCTGGACAGCCTCGTCAATCCTTCGTTGTGTGGTGCAGACGTCTAGCACGATGTTCGCGATGGGTAATTTAATTCGTTCGTCCGGTAAAATCCATAGTGGTTGTATTCGAGTAAGTAGAGCTTGGGTGTCTAGATCCTGAGTGGTTTTGACGAGGGTGTGGATTGTGGTGAGTGTTGAAAGGTTAGATTCTATGTTCGTGGTGTCTATGCTGTTTAGTAGTTGTATTATGGCTGCTGGATCTTCGTGTTTTCGTTTCATGGTGTTGAAGTGCTAAATGCCGAATGATGTTAGTTTTCTTGCAGCTGTGAAGTAAGAAAAGTAATGAATAGAGCGCAATTGTCGATACACATATGATACTGACGAGGATATTCGGTAGATCAAGTTCAAAGTCTTATTTTGTGGGGTAGCTTTCTTACCTTTTCTCGTCAAAATGATCAATCCTAGTTTTTCTTTAGATCGCTGCCTTCAACAAGACGAAAACACTTGCTTCAACTGGTCGAGCCTATACATTACGTTCTACAGTCTCTCCTTCTTCCTGAACCGTTATAGATCAGCAAAAAAGAAGATTCTAACAAGAAAAAACAGCCATCGTTGGACTAGCTCCTGTCATATATTCTTCTTATTTACACTCTAAACAAACTTATACAACGTGTTTGTGCAAAACTATCTAACTGTCTCATCACTGCACCACTTTTTTTACGACACAGTGAGCAAAGCTGGAAACGCCTTGTCTTTACTCAAAACTATCGTCGATTGCTCATGCGACAAGTATCCTTTTATATAGCCCTAGCAAACAAAAGTCATTGAATACGAAAACATATAGTGCTCACAAACACAACAACCACATACCTTGTCAATCATATTCGCCAACAAACATTCAACTTCATCCAGTGACGAGTCCTCTCCCACAAATTTGAGCGCATCTTTGAATGCACTAAGTGGTAGCCTTGTTGTTTGGCCTTTGATCATCCACCTGCAATAATAAATCAGTATCAGCTGTGTTCTTTTTTGCGCTTTAACCAAACTAGCAAACCCATCGCGTATACTTACACCTTCTTAAACAGCACCCTCAAAGACACAATCCGCAACCTCTCAATAGCATAAAAAGTCCCATGATCAATCAAATCCTTTTGTTTTTCGAGTAGAGCATCATCAAACATGCGTACATTGCCGAGTTTTATGGCGGTAACGAAGGGAGAGTAGAGGTCAGCAATGGATTGGCATTTGGAGAGGAGATTTGGTGGAGGTAGATAGCCTTGTAGCATTCGTGCCGGTATGTAATAATTTAGAATCAGTCTGTGAGGGTGGAAAAAAAAGATTCGTTGAAACGATATTATTTAGAAAGGTCGGTCATCTATCTGATATCATACGCACAAACCTTCGATTGTTCATCCATTTAGCTCTCCTATCACCTTTTCCTGGACAGTGCTGTAATGCATATTCCAATTCTTCTGTTGCCTAGTTGATATTTGGAGGCATTAATAACCCAGCCTGTAATTTTTTTCGTCTCAAATAACTAATATGTTCCTCCATCCCAACTTCATCTTCACGCATACCTTCTTATACTGCTCATTATAAAAAGCCAGCACGCCAACATAATATTTGAATGTAACTTTATGAGATATCGGAAAGACATCTAGCGGCTGCAGATCGTTTGACTGGATGGATCTCAGAGTATTTGAGCACAAATGTAGGGATTTCAGTCTGAAAAAGACTCGGAACATGAGACAGGCTGTGTAGTATGTTCCCCAGCGCCGTGATATGTGTGGAAGTGCTCTGTGTAAGTGAGAATTGATGGATGAGAGGAAGCCACAAAAACGATAACGTGGACTTGATGAATACCTATCAGACAAGCAGACACTGAACGCACTACGTAGAGCAGACACAGCACCTTCACTCTTTGTTGCCTTTTCACCTCGTTTCAGTAGTTCTGTATCGGCCTATATATAAAAAGAGGAATGGTGGTTAGAGACATACCAATGACAAATATTCTTCTGGTTTTGTTGGCCTCCTCCCGAGAACACAAACCTCTTTCCACATACCTTTGCAGTCAACCTGACCAGATCCAAGTCCACAGCATACAAAGCAGGCAATGCCCACTTTTGGATTGAATTACTTGGATACATGGCATGTAGCGCATCACAGAGCGCCAATTGATCGACAGCCAATTCAATAGCGTGAGAAGGAGCATTAGGAGAGGCAGACGGTAGAGCAGCAATGACTTTGAAATGGTGGGATACGAGTGGTAGCCATGGTTCTTCTATTCCCATGTCGTTTAGGTACCTGAATATGTTTGACTGTATGAGGTGTTAGAGATGTTTTGAACGTGTGAATGTTGTGATAGTGAGCGCAATAAGGATGATGTATCTGATATTCAGCACGTACGATGCGAGACAGTTCAGACTTTACGGCAGTTGTATGATCGTCCTGTAGGGCGAAACAGGCACGTAGTTTGATTCCATCTTGGGCTTTTAGTGCTTCGAGAAGAGCAGTACAGTAATTGTCGACCTTGAATGTAGCTGCAGAGCTGTTATTCTGCTTGTTCTTTGGAGGCATCTATTGAATAATGTTATTAGAATTAAACTGCTCTCGCTGAGTCTAGCTGCGAAGTGTGATGTTTTCCAAAAACAAAAATCAAAAACAGTAGAGGACGATGGCATCAGCAGCACCAACAACAAACACAGTAGTGCCTCAATTATTGCCTCTAGGTATTTAATCACGTACTTGCATTATCCCTTACAGTCTATTCTACGTTGAACTAACTTTACTATTATAATAGAGCTTATTGACAAGTGCATCGGGTCCAGAATATGGGTCATCATGAAGGGAGACAAGGAATTCGCCGGCTTACTTACCGGTTTCGATGATTATGTTAACATGGTCCTACAGGATGTCACTGAAATGTACGTCCAGTGACAACATTTGAACATCTTTAAACATTCCTGCCTGCAGAGAGCATCACCCTCCAACATCAACCAGGGAAGCAATCGCCCAATGGCAACTGAACTTCAATTTCGATTCTTCACAGTGAGCTCACATCACAAGGCCGTAAAGTGACCAAGCTAAAGGAGATCTTACTGAATGGAAACAATATTTGCATGCTACTACCTGGGGTCACGTAAGAGAACATACAAGGCATTCCGCCTAAACAAGAAATGATTTTCTGACACCTATTCCTCTGCAAATAGGCCTCCATTATAGTGTTTGATATCATAGCAAGATGTAAACGAGTCATGAAGCTAGTTCTGTACATACATATTATGACTATTCAGACTGGATTTGTCATGTAGTAGACGCGTAGAAGGCTGTAAAGGAGCTACATGTTGGATCTTGCTATTCATGAGTGTGATACGCAACCGCAAGTTTGCTTGTACCGGCACTTTGTTATTCATTCGAACAACGTGTACTAGTTTAGTAGTACTCCTAAGAGCGTAAACGGATAGCGTGCAAGCAAGCATTCGCTCAATGCTCCTAGCTGCTCATGAGACCCATCAGCTTTCTCGCCTTCTCTGATTCTCTCCACGCACAAAATACACATACAGACCTTGGACGGTCAAGATTCGTAGGAAGTCTGGCGAGAGGAGGTCCACCTTCGGATTGCTATCCAGGTATGCATCCAAATTTCTTTCAACTCCCAGGCCTCGCAGGTTTGTCACAAGCCATTACCAACTGTTCTAGAGTATTGATCGCGTTGCAGCATTAAGTACGATAGGATCTCCTCAAGCCTGGATGTACTCACAATCATTTCTAATTTGAAGAGTGTTTTTGCTTGCTCTAGCCCAACTATGGACTCATCAAGGCGTGGTTTTCAATGACATCAAATCACCACGCCGTTACCAACAACGTGCTATTGTTTCAAGAACTCAGAGTAAGATCAGGAGGGTTACGACGTCTTGCTCTAATGATTGATGAGGATGTGCCCTCCCAAGGGTGAATCAAATATGCTACGGTTTGGTCAATCAGCTAAAACATTTGGGTACGCTTGAATGGGACCTTACAAGAAGACGACTCGTTTGCATTATCGAGGGCTAAGGTTTTCGACGAGTACGGTTCGGCGACGAGAGACCCGTTTACGGTCTTGTGTAAAGACGGAATTGTGTAAACATTATATAGAGCGGTAATAACAGTTGTTTCTCCTCTATTAGGATAGAAGGATTCTGGCAATGTGGCATTTTAAGAACTGAAGTTGAGGTCAATTGTTCCAGCTTGTGTTGAAGAACACTATGGAGAGGGTTATGTCTTGGTTCACTGATTGATGAGCATGTGCCCTTTCAAGGGGTGAATCAAACAGGCTACGGTCTGCTGAATCAATTAAAACATTTGGGTTCGCTTGAATGGAACCACTGAAGAAGACGACTCGTTGCGCCTCGTTAAAGGCTACGGTTTTCGACGAGTATGGGCAACGGCTCAGCAAACGAGAAAACCCCATTCTGCAATGTATTTTCATTTGGAAGCCCTGATTGCAAAACGTGTAGAGTCGACTAATACCGGGGACTGCCTGAAGTTCGAGCATATTGGGTGCTCAACAACAAGATGAGCGAAGTTAAGAAGGTCCAATGAAGGAGAGGGGTTTGAAACAGTGAGCTTTCATCGAATTCAATGTGCAAATGGATTGCAGGGAAGTTTCGGTCTCACCTAGTCGTGACGCGGTGGTTAAATGTCCAGTCAGAGCAAAAACACTTCATTTCCATACTTGAACGTAAATAGACTTACATTTGTACATCGTTTCATGTAAATCCGATAGAATTTCACGTCCAAAACTTCGCTTTGATCCGAACATATTCACATCAGCTGCTCATTTGATTTCTTACTCAAATCGACCGCACACAACAAGAAACCTTGAAAGAACTGTGAAAGAGGAGGACCTTAGGATCAAGTGCTTTGCCTGATCCTCTACACTACTTATTATCTATACCCATTCCTAAAAGCGGGACTACTTTAGCAGCTTTTAATATCACCTAACCTTCCCTATTATATAATGGCTGCCTTATCTCCAATGTCTGAGAGAGAAGCTGCTGCTACATTCAAACTCTTGTAAGTACTCGTTTATCTCCTTCTCTGCCCTTTTGTTTATCAATCTATCTCAAGTTGTCTGACTCTTCTTCATCAACACATATTTTTATCATCAGACTCATCGGTGACTCTGGAACAGGCAAATCATCCTTGTTGCTCAGGTTTACAGACGATACATGGTTGCAGCCTGATGAAGTATCTGCTACGATCGGTAAATAGCTGGCTTTGTTTTCTGGGAAGCTAGGTGTTATCTTACAATCGTGTCATTTGCAGGTGTTGATTTCAAAGTCAAGATGATGGAAGTTGATGGCAAGAGATATAAGCTTACGATATGGGTATGTTGCTGATATCTTAGACTATGAAAGCCCAAAGCTTGATATTAAAACTTTTGGTCTATAGGATACCGCTGGACAAGAACGCTTTCGAACCTTGACTTCCAGCTATTATCGAGGTGCTCAAGGTGTCATACTAGGTACCCATACACACGCATTCATTGCATCACTTCATTTTACCTAAACAACTCATACGCTTAGTATACGACGTATCAAACCGCTCCACATTCGACCACCTCCAACTCTGGTTTACCGAGCTGGACACATACTCATCATCACGAGATGTAGTGAAAATGATTGTGGGAAACAAGTCAGATAAGGATACCGCTGGTTCGCGTGAAGTGTCACGGAAGGAAGGGGAAGCTTTCGCGAAAAGGATGGGGACACTGTTTGTGGAGAGTTCGGCAAAGACGAAGACTGGTGTGCGAGAGGCTTTTGTTGATGTTGTTCGATCGGTATGTATATGGTGCTATGAAAGATGAGGCTGAGACTAAGACTTTTGTTTTGAGTAGATTATAGAAACCCCAGCACTATGGCAGAAACAAGGCCAAACAGGTTCACGCGTGAACCTTGCTGAACAGCCAGCGGAGAATTCATACTGTAGCTGTTAGAAGCTAATTGTGCATTTATTAGTTACTTACCCTATTCATTTGTTTTTTCTCCTTATACACCCGTAAACTTGTATTTCTTTGACTTTCAACATAAACACGCTTTGTGCATCGTTATCATCACTGGTTGTTGTTGGGAGAGTAGGCAGTGTACATATGAAACAGAACCAGAATGTCGCTCTAGTGGGATCTAAAGTCGTCCTTGTTCCTTACAGGTAATGTAATCCATGACATCAACGACAAAAATTGATGGCTCTGACTTTTACCCCATCATCATCAAGGGAAGAACATGTCTCGACATACCACGAATGGATGAAGGACGAGGAATTACAGCGATTGACTGGCTCTGAACCTCTTACGCTCGACGCTGAATATGAAATGTGTCGGAATTGGAGAGACGATCAAGACAGTGAGATTCTGTGTTTGTCAGTGGTTTAACGAGGGATTGGGACTGATACGACGTTTTAGAATGTACATTTATTATTCTGGATCCGAGTGCTGAGAGGTATCGTGTGGGAGGGCTTGCGGAAAAGTTTGGAGGTTAGTGTTGACCTAGGAAGACCAGCTGTGTTTTTTTGTTGTTAACGAGCTGGCATTAGGAATGGTTGGAGATGTGAATCTGTTCTTGTATACTTCGGACGATAGAGAGTGGGCTGAAGTGGAGCTTATGATTGCTGGTAAACTGTCAAAGAATAATTCAAGGCCAGTGTCCTGCTTTTTTGCTCTCGCCAACATATTTCTATATAGAACCAGACGCACGCCACAAAGGCTTCGGCCGTGAAGCCGTCCTGATCATGATGCAATACGGCATCCAATCGCTAAGAATAACTCGCTTCGAATGCAAAATTGGAGACACCAACATTTTCTCATTGAAACTATTCGAGTCTATCGGATTTAAAGAGACTACCAGGTCTGCTGTGTTTCAGGAGGTGACGTTAGAGTATGTTGTTGCTGGTGGTGAGAACCGATGGCCCAGTTTTGAAAGTGTTGAGGTTGGTAGTTGATGACCTGGCAGTTGTTGGTTGGAAGGGAGGCATCTAGGAATAGAACTGTCTCTCTTGTGCTTTGCTCGACATCTCCTTGCAAACGATTCGCTATTGAATCGAAAGGGATTGCATTTAGGAAAACCGAGTCGGCAAAACGAGAATTGGAGTATCCAGCTCGTCATGTTAATGTACATTTGCATGCTTTGAAACTAGAGATAGAAATAGAGTGTCCTCGTGATGTAAATCTGGCTATTTTCGTTTTGCGTCTTGTCTCCTTTCCACTTTAGGGACGTCATTTTATAGATCCGAGTCTTTGTGCTGGCTTACATCACTCGCAATTTTTTCAAACTCAATTTCAATTTCAACCACCGACATCCGTAATAATAGTAAACAAGTACATAATGTCTTCCTCAAACAACAAGATGAACGCTTCTAAGCTAGTTTCGTTGGTTGCTGTCTCGGCTATAGCAGCTATGCTCCCTCACGCTCAAGCTGCTGCTTTAACTGCAAACAGCGTGGGATGCGTAACGACTTATGATACTACTACAGACTACTTTCCTCAAAAAATGACTGGTATGTACTAGTATTTGCTGTAACTATGCTGTTTTGCTTTTTGGCAAGTTGGGGAGCTTTCGTCTATGGCATCAACTTTTTTTGCTGGATTTTGGGTGCAACATGTTGTCATTGATGCATCAAGCAACAAGAGAGGGAGGGAAGGATCTGAATCGATCTGAATGTGGAAAACGTGCCATAAACAATGCTGTCCTTCGGGTCGATTTGTTATTTGGATGAACTTGAAACTACTAGCCAGAAAAAAGCCGACTTTTACAACATAATGAGCTCACACACATTTTTCCTCTTCACATAGCTGGCCCATCAGATTCATTCACCGTATCATACACCCTAAACACCAAAACCGTATACAACAAGTACTCAAACCAGACACTCATCCTGTACCAATGTGGTACACCTGCACCAGCCACCGTTGCATCTGCAAAGACCCTGGTCCTCTCGGTTCCTCTGACCAACGTATCGCTGGATGATACTACTGCCCTCACATACTTTGAACTACTCGGTGAACGGACTGCTATTACCCTATCTAGCGTAGTAGATTACTCCATCTCGCCTTGTTTTGTAAAGTACAACAAGACTGGAGCTGTTACTGCTGTTGATGCTGCTAATGCTACAGATGCTACTGCACAATATGGAGCTGTAGAAGCTAGCTTTGGGTTTACTAGTGTGGTTGTTAATAACTCGGTTGCTTTCCCTGCTACTTACTTGCCTGGTATCGCTACTGTAAGTTTCTTGCTTTCGAGCCCTGTTGCTTCTACTGTTGGTCTTTTTTCTCCGTGCTGATATCTAACTTTACATCATCGTTTGAAACAGCGACCAACTTGGATCCGCTTCTTGGGCACACTCTTCAACAAGGAAGCTCTCGCCGCATCCGTAGAATCAACCATCCTCACAAACTATGCCTGTCTAAACTCGTCCGCACGAGCATCCGCCGGCACCACACCCGTAAAAGTAGCATGGTCAACGTACAATGCTCCCTCAGACTACAACAACAACACCGCATCATGGGAACTAGACCTCCCTAAATACAAGTACGATCTCGTAGTTGACGCTGGTGCCGTCACTGTCCCCGCTGCCGTCGCCTCTGCAACTGTATTCACTACTCAAGCCGCATGGCAAGCTGCTGTCGCCGATGTAGATGTCTTGATTGATGGAACTTTTGGACCAAATAACTTTACACAGACTTTGGCTTCTTATGGATTGAATGCTACGTCAACAAACTTCAAGTTTGTTGCAAACAAGAAGGTGTATCGATTTGATCAGACTCAGAATGCTTTCGGATTGTATGGTAAGCTTTGTGCTAAAAACGACAACGTCGTCCTCGTCTCAATGGCCTTAAATATGCCAATCCATCCCCTCACTAACACCATACCTTTCTAACAACCAGCATGGTTTGAATCCGCCGTACCATTCATCCACGTCATCCTCGCCGACATGATTGCCGCCGTAAACCCCAAACTCATAACCTCAACATACACACCAGCATACATCCGTAACGTATACACGTCTCCCAACCCAACCGTCGTAGACTCTACTAGCTGTACCCTCACTGACTTTAGCACTGCTTTGGCAGTACCTGCTATCGCTTGCCCAGCACCAATTACCGCGTCTACCAGTGGAGCATTCATAAACCGGGTTGGACTTGTCGGTGCTGTGTTGAGTGTAGTTGCTGCTGTTATGATGGCTTAAGCTTGAGGATGTTTTGAAAAAGGGACTATGGAGAGAAGTCATTTTGTAATATGAGAAAGTTCGTGGAGAGAGTAGGGAAGAAAGAGGGAGAGAGAGGGAGGAGAAGGTGGATCGGGAGTTTGGTGTTGTGGGACAAATCATTCATTCATATAAAACACAATGATAGTAGTATAGTAACAATAATAAAAGGACGAGGAGAGTTTGTGAGGCTGCGTACTACGCGCCCGAACTCTCCTTTTTGGTTCTTTTAAAAGCATAAAAACACTGGTTTCGTTTGCGAAGTGAGTCAAGTTTCAATCGTTAGATTTCTGAGGCTGACCCGGTTCTACTTGCTACCTGCGGAAGTGCAGGGTCGACAGTCTCAATTGAGTAAGGTAAATCCCTCAAGAGTCCGGTCACTTTTAACTTCAAAAGTAAAAGACTTTTGAAAGTGCTCTCACCGCATCTTGGTGAGCGACCTTATTTACCCTTGGTGAAGACCATTCAAGATCTCCAACAAAGAAGGTCAAGCTCATCGTGGGTGCCATTGAAGATGAAACATGCAAGATCTTAATATTGAGACCAACAAAACTTGCCTTTCGCTTAGAATTTGAGAGAGGGAGAGTTCCAAGGTTACTAAAACCAAACTTGAGAAAGTAGTGTAAGCAAGTGGTAGCAATAATTGTGTAGTGCACAAAAGCAAGACTGCAAAATCATCCTCTCAAGCCACTGTAACAGGTGATCAGTCATGTTGTCCCGCATTTTCGACAATGCTCGACACCCGCCAAGACTCATACGAGGCTGACCCAGTTTGCACAAGTTACCGGAGGCGTGCGAGGTGTCAACAGTCTCAATTGAAAAAAACTAGTTTTTCAAGAGTCTGGTCCTCTTTTAACTTCAAAGGATAAACTTTTGAGCGTACACTCTCTCCTCAAAAGGAATACCCACTTACCCTTGTTGAAGTTACATCTTCAACAAGGAAGGTACTACGACTTCGGTGGCATATGAAGATGAAATGCACCAACATAACCAAACATAATCGCTTTATTGCACTTGCCTGAGCAACAGTGCTACCACCGCCAGTAGCATCTTGCACAGCACCGACGCTGCTTTCTCCTCGGGATCCAGGTACACCGCTTTTACGAGCTTTAATCTTCTTTGGTGGATTCTCTTGGCTCAAAGCAAGGACCTACGCGATAATATCCAGTTAGTTTCCAATTCTTCACAATACAGCATAGCATGTAAATACTGAAGTAACCGAACAAATAAGCAAATGTTAAAGCAGAAAGACACAAACTCACAGCGTCAACGAAGTCAACATCTACGCCCACGCTTTGTGGCTGACAACGATATCACGAAACGCGTTCGACGAACCAAGAATTTTTTGAACAGACTCAACTTTCGCTCTCTTTTTCAGTGGATCTAGATTGAAGCAAGTCGTTAGAAATGTACAGACTCGAATAAAATGAGATCAATCCCATAAAATAGCTTACAGTGCCGAGTTTGTCGTCTGGAGACTGCTTTGGCAACCATGTTCACATCTCCTCCAATCGACCCATTAGCAAAGGCTCCATTTGCGCCTGATTCAACAGTGCATTGTTGTTGCTGTGGTAATTCAAAGTGTTAGCAATTACAAATGAGAGTGGAATGAATGAAAGCATCTACCTACTTGGACTTCTTGGATTTGGCTTTTCCTGTTGTAGTCTTTTTCCTTTTGGGATGAGATGAAGGAGAACGGATCTATTGCAAGGCAAGTTAGCAAGGCGTCATGGATAAATTTGAAAGCGAGAAATGACAATGCAATTCATCTTCAAGGCACTGTGACAGTGATCAGTCATGTTGTGCCGCACTGTCTCCATGCTCGACACCCGCCAAGGACACTGCCGAGGCTGACCCGGATTGCAAAAAGTTACCGGAGGCGTGCAAGGTGTCAACAGTCTCAATTCAAGAACTAGCTCTTGAAGAGTCTGGTCCTTTTTTAACTTCAAAAGATAGCTTTTGAAGTACACTCTCTCCCAAAAGGAATACCATTTACCCTTGTTTAGAGACCATAAGAGATCTCCAGCGAGGAAGGTACTACGACTTCGGTGCCATTTGAAGATGAAAAGCAACATCCCACACAATTAAACAAAACCATTTATTGCACTTGCCTGAGCAGCAGTACCACCGCCAGTACCATCTTTTGCAGCCTCGTTCCTCCCACCATTCGCACCAGGTACACCATTTTTTCGAGTTTTGGACTTCTTAGGTGGTTTGACAGCCTCTTGGCTCGAAGCAACGACCTACGCAATATCCAGTTAGTTTATAATGCTTTTCAGTACAGCATGCAAATGCTAAACCAACCGAACAAATATGCGAATGTTGAAGCCGAAAGACACAAACTTACAGGATCAAGGAAGTCAACATCTACGCCCACGCTTTGTGCATCTTCAACCAGCTTGGCTCGCTTGGCAGCAGCTTCCTGAATGGCACGAATAGCATTTTCTTTAGTAGCATGTCTCGTATATTCTTCAGCAGTTTCCCTAGTCTTGCCCTTCTACAAATTGAGTGAGAATGAGGTCAGTATCGCTTTTTGTTAGTTCAAGCACAAGGTAGTATTTGAAATGCATGGAGTCTTAAGCACGTACGGATGAAACAGAATCCATGGATACTTGAGCGACATCATCCACAAATGTCATAGCCAAGGGAGCAATGGGAGAAGATGGCGTTGGTGACGATGGCGTCGGTGATGATGGAGGAGCGACGACATTGATGGGAGCTGGACTGGTAGGTACTAGAATAGCTTCAGACGCAAGAGATAGTGAAGAGGGTGAGCCACCGGCAGAAGATGTCATAAGTGCGAGATCAGTCTATTTGGCGATGAAGTTGAGAGAATGTTTGTAACGAATCTTAAAGCATTTAGTGGTTAAAACATAGAAATTCAACGTAAACAACGAGGCAGATATGTTGTCTCGCTTCTCCGACTAGCTTAAAAGCTTCACAAACAATGTTTCAAAAAGCACCAAACGGCAACCGACAAGGAATCCCCCAACATTGAAAGTAGAATATCACAAGAAGAATAAAAAAGCATCCGAATTACATACTGGAGTAGCCGACGATGAGATCCCTTCAGTTGAGTCAGCTTCCGAAGACATAAGAAACACCAATCCAGCACTTAAAAACAATGGGTGAGCAACCAGCCTGCAGCCAACAGACAAGAAGCAAAGCAGCTCGGAAGGAGTACCAATGGGCTTATGACACATACGCATCGGTCAAATTCAAGCCACGTACCTTGTAACGTTCTGGTGATCGAGCTCTCTAGTTGAAATTTGTTGGAAGTGTGTGATGGAGTGTAGAATTAGAGAAACTGAACACACGGCCAAGAAAAATGAAAAGACAGCCGATATTGGTCAAGTTCCCGTGTTTGCAAGAGAATCAGGGCCCAAATCAAGATGGAATTTAATTGGCACGTGCAATTGGTATATTTTCACCACCAGCTTCAGCAATATCTCATTTCGGGACTGGCAAGACAAGGACCACGCCAGGACTGACGAAGGAATTATTTGCCTACGCGGTTTGCCATAATATTGCCATTGCTTTCCAACATCCGAGGTCGTCCAGTCACATTGAACATGGAACCCAAGTGACGACGTGATGAATAAGACCATCGATTTGTAGCTTATAAGGTCTTTTGTAAGCTAGAAACGACGTGGCCTGACTGCTCAAACAAGATATGTGTCGGACCAAACATGATCAACTGCCAATGTCACGAGGAATCGCCACCCAACAGCCAACAGTGGTGGAATTGTGTAAGAGGATTCATTCAAAAGCGAAATTTTGACCATTGACTAGATCTCTTATGTCTAATATTCTTGGCACGGCCTGGGGTTGTCTCATCAAAACAAAAACAGCTAACAGAAACCCACCGCGTCAAATTTCATGTGGGCAACCGTGAAATCTCACTAAGTCACCTCGAAAAGAGGGTAAAATATTGAAGAAAAGTCTAGTTTCCTCCACTGATACCGTATTTGAATAGCTGAAAAGTTGAGGTTCGCGTCCATTTTCATTCAACAACTTCCGACAGCAGAGCAAACATGACCAAGACAGACTATTACGAGCTGCTTGGAGTGGATATCCGTGCTTCGGCAGATGATATCAAGAAGGGGTATCGACGTAAAGCTCTCGAACTGCATCCAGACAAGAATATTGGACGTGTTGAAGAAGCAACAAGACTGTTTAGTGAAGTGAGAGAAGCGTATGATGTATTGAGTGATGACCATGAACGAGCATGGTATGATAGTCACAAGGACGAGATATTACGAGGTGATGATATAGGAGATGCTGACTCTGATGGTGGTAAGTTTTCTTGTCAACATTTCTAACCAGTTTTTTTGCAAAGTTGAGAAGCTTTCAAAATCAGAAAGAGAGTCGAGTTGTTGTAACAAGCTATGGTCAAATCGCTTTACTTATGCATTTAATTGATAGAATATGCACCTCCTGCTTCAGCTGGAACTACCACTGAAGCATTGATGAAGTACTTTTCAAACTCTTGCTACAAGAACTTTGATCCTACGTCTCCAGCATCGTTTTATACCGTATATCACGAGCTATTCGCTAGGCTAGAATCAGAAGAAATCGAGGCTCTAAGATCAGACTCGGAAGCTCGCCGCGAAAACGGCTATCAATTCGACGACCATCTTGATTTCTTGGGATCAGATGTCGTCCAATTCTATAAAACCTGGACCAACTTCTCTACCGTCAAATCATTTAGATGGAAGGATAAATGGAGGCTGTCTGAAGCTCCTGATAGACGAGTCAGAAGAGCCATGGAAGCCGAGAATAAGCAGGAGCGAGATAAAGCTCGTAAAGAGTTTATGGATACCGTACGTCAACTAGCAGAATACGTACGTAAACGAGATCCGAGATATAAAGCACATCTAGAAGCTTCTCGAGCTGCTCAGGAAGTCAAGGATCGTGAAGCTACAAAGAAACGTAACGACGAAAGACGCGAACGTCTCAAAGATGCCATGAAATATGAGACTCCTGACTGGGCCAAAGCCGAAATCGAAGTCGATGAGGATGGCTCTGTACGTGTCAAACAACGTAGAAACGGTGATGATAACGATGACGATGTAGATGAATCCGATGACGCGGAGCCAGATCAACTAGACGATGTAGATGAAGAAGGACTCCTCGACTTTTATTGTGTAGCATGTGATAAGGAATTTAAATCCGCCAAACAGCTTCATAATCATGAAAAGTCGAAACGACATCAGAAGATGGAGTTTATGCTCAAGAAGCAGATGAGGAAGGAAGCTGCCGCTACTGGAGACGACATAGATCTTATAGATGTAGATGACGACGATGACGTCTTTGTCGATGCTCCTGATGAGCCAGTCTCACCAGATAAAGTAGAAGCCGAGGACGATCCCGTTAAAGACGATGATGAAGATATGCCGATAGAGCCAATACCCACAAATAATAATAGTAAAGCCAAATCGAAGAAATCCAAAAAGAAACAACGTGGATTTGGTGCTGAAGCTGATTTCACTGGTGTCGTATCGGATACTGACTCAAACGTACAATCCAACACCAAGAAATCTAAAAAGGCTTCCAAGAGGCAACAGCAGAAACAGCAAGGGTCTTCGTCAGCACCTGTAATAGACTCTGATACCGTCAATGAGCCTGCTACAGTCACGTCACGGACACGAGAAGACATAGAAGATGATGACGAGGGAGATGATATGGAGGAACCTATAGATGAAGAAGCTGATGCAAATGGTACCGACGATGGACTAGAAGAACTTGGATCACGATTCGCTTCTAAAACCTCACTCAGTAAAGTCGAGGAGGAGGAAGATGTCGACGAGGAAACTATTGCAAGTAATCCACAGCTGGATACAGAATCCGTAGCATCGTCGGGACCGAGTAAACCTAAATCTAAAGCTAAAGCCAAGAAAGCAGCTCGAAATGCTGCTGCTGCATCATCATCAGCTGCTCCCACCACCACTAGTAGTAATAGTCTCATATGTGAAGTATGTAGAGAAGTGTTTAATACTCGTAATAAGCTATTTGATCATATTAAAGCCACTGGACATGCTCTTGCACCGGGCGGTGGTAGTGCTGGTGCAAAGAAACAGAAGGGCAAGAGGAAGTAGGTGGTAGCAGTCACACTCATATCTGTAAAAACAATGCAATTTTCTTGTAATAACAAATGTAACTTTGCATCGACACTTTAAAGTACATGGTTTTCTGAAACGTGTCCTTTTTGGAAGACTAAAAAGTCTTGACAAGAGATACAGCTATATGAGATAGTTTACTTTTTAGCGTACTTGGCAACCAAGACATCCAAAGTTCCCTTGAAGATGTTGGTCTTAATGACACCTTGCATTGTATCATGCATCGACTCGTTGGTCTTGAAGTGGGCGGAACAGTGAGCATATGTCCTGTTTCCTTCCGAGATTTCCTTGAATGACCATGTAGCAATGTAGTCGACGATTTGTCCAGGGAATCTAAAAACAATGTTGAGCGGTCAGTACCCTGCTAAACGTGACGCCTTTCATTGAATTGATTTCTGGAACTTACGGGTTCAAGTGCTTGTTCTCTTCAGAAAAGTTCAACAACTTGTATTTGAAATGGTGCGAGTCGTCATCGAGGGCGACTAAAAGTTCCTCGATTTTGCCGGGGCCCATGGGGATGATACGGATACTGGCTGTAAAGTCATAAATTCGTTAGTAGTCAGTCAATGTTACTCACTCCCAAGAAACACGAATGCTACATGCTACATAGCGGCCAAATTTTTGCACCACGTACATCCAACTTGGTTGTCGACACCACCATCCTTGAGTTCAACTTTGAGTCCTGGAATCCATTTTTCCAAACTGTTGATAATGTCATGTTAACTTGATGTTGAATGTATGTAAACGACTTTGGTGTTGGCAATTTCCCATACCCAGCAAAGTCACGGACAGTGCCCCAAACGGATTCAACATCACCATCAATTACGGTAGACCATTCGGCGTATACGGGTACGAGCTTTTCTTGAACCTATATTCGGAGTGGGAAATGTGAGGAACACAAAACGACTTTGTAAATGAATGACGCAAGAAAGGATTCTAAGCTTGAACAAGAGGCTCCAGTGAGTAGCATACCATTGTGTTGATCGATTGCTGACTTTAGTACTTGGATTGGGCCTATTTGGAGATTAATACTCTTTGTGGGAGGGAGTCTTCCGAACGGTCTTGTGTAGCTAAAAAGGCAAGAACGTGACTTAACAACTGTTTTCCCGAAAGTCGATTGTTTTCTGGTTAGATTCTGGTTGTTTCAGCTATTTATTTTGATAATCTGTGCAGTATTGTACAATGTCCAGCGTTCTACATATGACGTTCCCAACTGTTGCAAAAGACACCAACTTGTGTGTTTCAATAAATTATTAGATCTAGATTTCGAGTTCCGCGTCAGTGCTAGATCAAGACATCCTCGTATCCTCACGAAAGCAAGCCACACCTTCGTGCTATATCATACATCAAATTGGTCGACTCGTTGGAACTGGATTAAACAACGGCCTCTGATTCCTATTTACAATCTTCTCCAGCAGCCCGTCCATTTCCGGATAATGATATTGTACCGCTGGATATGGTTTTGCTAGAGGGCGTAGTCCAAAAGCCTTGGGTTTACGAGATCTGACAGTTGGTTGTTGTTGTTGTTGACCAGATCGTGCTTGCACAGTAGCACTATTCCTTACAAGCGTTGCGAATGACGGGAACTGAGACCTTCGTATATTCACCATGTAAGGTTCTTTACGAGCATCAGTTTCTGAAGTAGGTGTTTCTCTAACAGGTTGTTTGCCTTTTGATTTAGCACTTCTAAAACTACCTACAGCTACTGATCGTGTTGGTAGTTCTTCAGGCAGTATTTCTTCCATTCCTACTATAGATTTCGATGGGGTATTGCTTCTAGTCGATGTTGGGATGTTTGATGTTGATGCAATAACTGGAGGGTCCACTCCTAGTATGTCCATTCGTTCTGATAGGGAAACCGTAAGCGAAGATACATGTTGAGTCCTATCAGTAGGATCTAGTTCCCTTTCTTCTGTTTGAGAGCTATTCAGCACATTCACATTTTGTATCTCTTGCCATTCGTCTTCTTCACCATCTCGTTCTACTAACTCCCAAGACATAGCGGCTTCCTCTCTATCTTAACTCCAGCATTAGGCAATCCTTCAGACTCTAGCTACCTATATCGATCTTGTCCAAAGGCGTTTTTAACATTTTTGGACAAATAGCAACTGTGCAGAAAACCACTACGGAAACGGGAAAAGAAATCGAATCTTACCAAATATCTACAGTATCGACGCGTCAATACGCGCATCCCTCTGTGAAATCTACGGCGTTGATGCTATAATGCTGCACATCACGAAAATACCTCGTGCAGTTTTTAAGAAAACCATCCAGAACGAAGCATTAGACAATTAGTTAGAACCAAAGTAGTACAATTTGTAGACAGCCATGAGGCAGACTCTGGCACGTCTACGAAGGCCATCCCTATATGTACTTGGAGCAGGAGTCGCGACCTATACATTCACCAAATTGCAAACAGCATCCCCTCCACTTTCCGCAGAGCAAGACACGATCCGCTCAACACTACAATGGATCCCACCGTCTAGGAAGGACATGTTGACCGCTTTAAGGAATGCGGAACCAGTGCCAACGGGTGCTAGTAATCCACACATCTTTGATTTGTTGATTATTGGAGGAGGAGCAACGGGGTCTGGATGTGCTGTCGATGCTGCTACTAGAGGATTGAAGGTCGCTATGATTGAACGCGATGATTTTGCTTGTGGTCAGTGGTTTTGAGAATATTTGCACGTTGTCATTTATGTATCGCACGTGCCAACATGCACATCCGAGCTTCACTGACCAGAATGATTGTATTTAAATAGGAACATCGTCACGATCAACGAAACTGGTACATGGTGGTGTCCGATATCTAGAAAAAGCCTTCTGGGATCGCGATATGGAACAATTGAAACTAGTCATTGAAGCACTGCATGAGCGATCTGTATTTCTCAAGATTGCGCCTCATTTATCCGCTCAAATACCCATCATGCTGCCTATATACAAGTATTGGCAAGTTCCCTACTATTGGGCTGGGTGTATTGCCTATGACATGCTAGCTGGTCGTGAAAAGTTGTCGCGAAGTTACTTTTTGGGTAAACGCAAAGCTCTAGAAGAGTTTCCCATGCTAAAGAATGAGAATCTTGTTGGTGCTCTTGTCTATTATGATGGTGAGTGAGCAATGTGCAAAAAAAACTCTTATTGTGACCATGGAAGGGCTGCCTTGTCTGTGAATCTGATTCCTCTTCTAATACATATACTCATATTCAACAGGACAACATAATGATGCTAGAATGAATGTGGCATTGACAATGACGGCTGTAGCTGCTGGAGCAACTGTAGCCAATCACGTAGAGGTCGTCGAGCTGCTCAAGAGACCACGTCAGGAACAAAAGGAAGGATATGGTCCAACAGAGCTATATGGAGCAGTGTTGAAAGACACTCTTACTGGTGACTCGTGGACTGTCCTGACAAAGGTATCGTTCGGAAGATCCAAGACCTTTTTTTTTCTGCTGTGTGGTCAACTCATCTAACCTACATATAGGGTGTCATAAACGCTACAGGACCATTTATTGACAAGATACGTCAAATGGATGATCCTTCGGTTGCAGAAATAGTATCACCATCAGCAGGTGTCCACGTCATTCTGCCCAACTATTATTCACCACGACATATGGGTCTTGTAGATCCAGCCACGTCAGATGGTCGAGTCATCTTCTTTCTCCCATGGGAGAATCAAACTATAGCTGGTACTACCGATTCCCCTTGTGTATTGACACCCAATCCTTATCCATCCGAGCAGGACATCGCATGGATATTACATGAAATCGAAAACTATCTATCACCAGAGATAAAAGTGCGACGTGGTGACGTGTTGGCTGCTTGGAGTGGTATTAGACCTTTAATTAGAGATCCACATGCTAAAAACACTGCTGGCCTGGTTCGTAGTCATCTAGTAACCGTCTCACCAACAGGATTGCTGACAATAGCTGGTGGTAAATGGACTACATATCGTGCCATGGCGCAAGAAGCTATTGATATGGCTATAACCGTATGTGATTTAAAACCTACTGGACCATGTATCACTGAAAGACATCAATTGATTGGATCTCATGCGTGGAATCCATCCATGTATGTCAATCTGATTCAAAACTTTGGGCTGGAAACTGAAGTTGCACAACATTTATGTGCTTCGTATGGTGATCGAGCTGCTGCTGTAGCTTCCCTGGCTAGTTTAACTGGTAAACGATTCCCTATATTTGGAAATCGAATTAGTCAACTTTATCCATATATCGAAGCTGAGGTACGATATGCAGTACGAAGAGAATATGCCTGTACAGCTGTAGATGTACTCGCACGTAGAACCCGCCTGGCCTTTTTGAATGCTGCTGCTGCATACGAAGCTCTAGATGGTGTAATAGATATCATGGCTGAAGAACTTGCATGGACGGACAAGCAACGAGCCCAAGAACGAGAAGATACAATCTCTTACCTGTATACTATGGGTCTGCCACCTTCATACGTATCACCGAATGGCGCCGAGGAAGGAGACGAAGACATATACAACACATCTCGATTCCGCCCTGAAGAGTTGTTACGATACCGTGCCGAGTTTGAGCGACTTGATACCGATAATGATGGCCATATAACTACAGAGGATCTTGGAAGGATACTGACTGGACTAGGCTTAAAGATGTCACAGTCTCAATTGGAGAACGTTATTAACGAGGTGGATTTGAATAAGAATCGTAGTATTGAATTCAATGAGTTCCTTGAGGTATGTGATGGCTAGCACCTTGTTTCGAATGTTTACTGACCTTTTGTGCTCGTTTTCCCAGGTATTGTCAGCAGTAAAAGACGTCAAGAGCAAATCCAAGTTTGCCAGAATAATAGCTGATTTTGAGGACCGTGAAAGGATTACGGAGCTTCGATCAGGCGGAGGTGTTTAGATTGTGCTTGACGGTGGATGCTTGGCGTAGGTCGTATTGTTTTGCAGAATTACGATCTGGTGGTGGTGTTTAGAAGGTCCTTGGAAGTTTCGCATATGTGGTGTTGTTTGCATGAAGTGAAATTAGAATGTTAGAATACTTGAATACATAAATATAATTGAGATCAAGCACAAAAAAGGAACCACATCTAAGTATAATGCACCGTCCAATAAGAGTGGTCCAGTCATCGTTCAAAGGGGTTTGAGGTTCAGTTTCACTTCAATTCAAGAACGAAAACAAACTTTATTAAGGTACGCTGGTAGATAGGTCTGAACTCTGTCTTTCCTACACTTCATCGGTCTCAGTCCAAGCTAAACCCTTGCAGAAACTTGCAGTTTGCAAAAAAGCAAGCCATGACGACAACAGTCGCTGCTACAGCATCTAGGCCATTGAGCCTACGACTGTGGGAGATTACATACTCTTATTTCCCTCTATCTTTTACCACTTTCGGTGGTCCTCAGGCCCACATCGCTATCATGTAAGTGTTTCTGAAAGAAGTCAAACAAAGTGGTGAGGCAACGTTGTCAGTTGGCTGTCTAAGTGTGCATCAGGATCTAAGTCTTAGATCCTTTCGTTTATTTGTGGTACTGTTGATGCTCTTCGTCGACATTTGGTCTAGGCTACTTTCATTTTTTTGCACGTTTTCGACGGACTATCGATCGGTTGCTCACACGCTCAATTCTAACGCTCTGTATAGATATGGGCTCTTTGTCAAGAACCAAGGATGGTTGAGTGAAGAGATGTTTGCTGAGCTGTTTTCTATTGCTCAGGCTTGTAAGGAATGAGGAAACGTTACACCCTGCAAGTTACTGGCAGCTCATCGTTTCTCTCATAGTACCTGGACCTGCGTCAACCCAATTGACGTTTGCTATTGCTCTGATTCGGGAAGGTGTGATTCCTGGTATATGGTCGTTTTTCGTGTGGAGGTGAGCCAAAAGAATTCCAAACTGAAAAGTGCAATTGTTGTAAGCTCATATATCACGCTCATCACAGCACACCCGGTGCCTTAATCATGCTCGCAGTAGCTCTCGCAGTTGGATTCGGTGGTTCGGCAGCATCAGTACCCGGTGCTGTCGTTGGGTTGGAAAACGGGCTGGTATCATCAGCTATTGGCTTAACAGCACTCGCAGCGTTCCAATTGGGAAAGAAATTCTCGATTGATACTGTATCTCGTGCTTTAATTCTCATCTCTGGTGGTCTTGCAATCGCATTCTATGCGCAACCGTGGTTGTTCCCATGCCTTATGATATTTGGAGGACTCGTTACGTATACCATGAGTGTTATTGAGCCGAGATGGACTGCGTATAGGACTGCACAGAAGGAGGCCGGGAGTGCTAAGAAGGTTTCTGATATGCATAAAAAGAATGATGATGTGGCTGCAGCTACACCGCTTTCAGTAGCACCAACAACACCGGCTTCTGCACCGGTGTCGCCGGCTACTGAAGAAGCTGATGTAACGGAGGTTACTAAGCCTGGTGAAAATGGAAGCGTTGTGCCAGCGGCTGCTGCTGTGGTAGATAGCAAGCCAGCTGATATAGAAGCTGCTGTCGTGAAGAAGGAGGAACCGGCTATATACTTTACGTATAGTTGGACTGTTGGATTGGCTCTTCTTGGTAATGTCTTTGTCACAGAACAAAAGAAATCCGTGCAAGATCACCGAGAATGCTAACTCATTTGTTGACAGGTGTATGGGTCGTGTTCCTGGTACTAGCCATCATATTTCGATTTGTGGTTGATGTGAGAGCTTTGAATGTGTTGGGGACGTTCTACTTTACGGGCTCTATTATCTTTGGTGGAGGGTGAGCCAACTGCAATCTTTCTAATAATACTTAACTTCGCTCCTTTGCTGACTCTGCTTTGTCGAAACATGTTAGACCTGTCGTGGTTCCTCTATTGCAAACGTATGTGACGAGCCCTGGATGGTTGAGTGATCGGGAATATTTGGTGGGGTTGGCCGTTATAAATGCTCTTCCAGGTAAGAGTCAAAAAAGAGAACGGCGCAGTATTGATCAAATGGTTACTTTAACATTTCGCTTACAATCCGTAGGACCATTATTCAACTTTGCCGCATACTGTGGAGCCCTCGCGCTACGCCAAAACGTCGGAACAGCAATCTGTGGTGCCGTTCTTGGCTTCATCGGAATCTTCACACCAGGCTTAATTCTAATGGCAGCACTCCTCCCCATATGGCGACGCTTCCGCAACCTAAAGACCCTCCAAATAATATTCAAGGGCATGAATGCAGCAGCAGCTGGACTAGTATTCGCTGCAGTCTACCTGTTATGGAATAAAGCCATATCGGGCAGAGCAGCTGGAACTGTCGTTGGATCATACCCATTGTTTACCATTTTGGCTGCATTCTCGTTTGTTGCTGCTGGATACACAAAGATACCTGCACCAGTTGTTATTATTATTGGTGGTGTGGTTGGGATTTTAGAGTTTGCTGCAAACCCGGGTTTATACGCTTGAGGGAGGGCAGGCTGACAAGGATGGTTTCATCACTTTTATCATATATTATCATCATATTGATTATCATTATTCTCTTATCCATACATCTAATAGACTTCTAATACCATGTTTACAACATGTCCTGGGCGTTGCATCACGGTTTTGATTCGATACCAGGGATTTTCCAAACAAGTTCAATTACCAGTTACTTATTCTTTTGAATGAGACCGTGTACACTGATTTGCCAAATGCTCACGTTCGTCTGACAGTACTCACACAATGTCATTCCCGAAACCTCGACGACGGCTAGTGAATGAAATTGTAGTAGAATCCGGACGCCTACCTCAATCTCAATCGAGTCTTTGCCTAGTCATTGTAAAGAAGCTTTCAAAATTTCCCCCTCCGCTTTCAAAAGAAAAAGAATCCGTCAAGGCCGGACTGGTTTATCTCACTTTTACATGGCACAAGGGGTGGCGACAGGCCGTGCAAGAGCTTCACGCGTCTAGGAAGGGAACGCGAAGGGACCACATGTACTCATCAGCTCATATAGACGTCTTCCAGTCGCTCGAACTACTCGACAAGGTTTGGGAACAGTTGTTTTGCTTGGCGTTTGCGGATGACTGGGATTTGTAAATATTCCGACAGAACAATACCAAGTAGGGGCAAACCCACTTTTAGAATGGGGCGCTTGAGTGGCCCACCATCTTCACAACGGTTTGGATAAAAAAAATCCAAACATCTTTATGGACGAGGAATGGCTTGCGAGAGCTCGAAACATTATCGAGTGGTCGGCTCGCTCGAAACGAGGTCATATAAGCTGCATCCCGTGTAGGATCAGCAAACTAAAGTGTTCATCGTCAATTCCAGGAGAGGTACGAAAATTTCGACGCCATAAGAGCTGATGCATCGATGAGCTGATGATTTCTCGATATAATAGCAATGTGGGAACTGTCGGCGAAGACATAAGGATTGTGCCTATCCAACTAGAAACGCCCCATTAAACTCGTCGCGGGGACCAAAATCTTTGCAAGTTTTGTGAATGTGTGCAAAGTCGTTTGCAGCACCATGAAATCTGATTGTATTTGTTTCAAATTTCTCAGATACGTCAAAGAACTAGAGGAGAAATGTGAAGATTTGGAGAAGCAGCTGGAAAGCATTCTGGAAACAGCAACCAAAGGCCAACAACCCGTTATAAAGACCGAACCTGTCGATGACGATGAGATTGCCTCGCCAATCCTAAGTAATGCTTCTTCACTGTACGATTTACCTGACTTTGTTTTCCTCGACTCAACTCTACTGGAACTGGTCAGAACCCACCAACCCATAATTAGACGATATTGCAAAGTCATCTGTACTCATCCAGACTACTTGACATTCAATGTACCCCATAATCCAAACATCAGACCGTTACTCTTAGCCCTTGCTGCGGTCATTGCACAATTGACTGCCGCGGATGTCAAGGCTTTGATCGAAGGGGAGTTGGAAGAAACGGTACTATCGTCAAACCTTGCGTCTCTGGCTCTTGCAAATACGGCACGTAGTGGTGTCACCTTTTGGAATGATGCAGAGTTCAGTATCGACCATTTCGAGGCAGCGCTCGTTTTGTGTTGGGGGACTGCGTTACGAGGTGGATACGTCGCAGCGTTTCAATTATCTAGTTTGGGTAAGTAACTGTACATGATGTTGCTCCTTCGTTGGTCAACTAATTCAATTTGTCTTATGCGCGGCAGTGATACGAATGGCACAATTCATGAGACTCGATGTTGATCCAGACCATTTATCACATCAAAAACGGAATTGTTTTAGTGTTTCCGAAAGAAATATCTCGTGGTTTGACGCGGAAAGACGGAGGAGAGCTTTCTTCGGCTGCCTTTACTTGGACTGTTACACGTCGTTCGCTTTGAACAAACCTTGTATGATTCCCTTAACCTACACGACACGAAAGCCGTGCCCAGACTCTTACTGGTTTAGATATAATTATCCAGACGACACGCAACCGCTAGGTTTTATAAATGATCCAGATGATTTAGCAGACGAGTTTTGGAAGTCTCTAGAGTTGCTGGCGAGAGCTATTGAATTGCATCGGTAAGATTTTGCTGCTTTCAACTATGGGACAATGTTGGTTTTTACTCACAAAACAATCACGCATACAGAACCATAGACGCCGACTCATTAGGAACTAATTCTTGGATTAACAGTTATGAAGTTCAAGTCAATCATCACCAACAAGAACTTGAACAGTATGTTGGGTCGTTTTGGGTTTTGGGAGTATTGCTCTTTCAAACGCTGTTTCTAACCCGAAACATTTCGTTTCGGTAGTCTCTTCAATTCGCTTCCGCCTGACATTCGCGGATTCAACAGTGAGAGCCTGACAAACTGGTTGAATCGAGTCGCATCAGACCACCAATATGGGCCATCTATGGGTCTTGCAGGAGATACACTCTTGAATATCCATGCAGCTTCATTGACTATCCATCAGCGAGGGTAAGGATCGTTTTTTCTTATTCAACCGCAAACTGATTAAATTCGTCTTTTAGAACCATATTCGCCTTACTTCAACATTCCAACAACTTTGATACCTTGTCAATGGATATTCACTTTGCTTCTGCTCAGCACGCCGCAGAACAGATAACTCACATTGCAGACTGTATGCTCGCTACTTCAATGTCTATATCACTAATTGGACCTCATGCTATGAGTGTAATTGAATCAGCTATGCTGCATTTCCTTTCTATATTCCACATTGCGGCAAAAATAAGTGAACGTGCCTTGATGATTCTGCTCCGTCTCTTTTACCGATGTGCTCGCTTCTACAAGTAAGAGAAACTGTTAAAGCCGGTCTCCAGAGTCACTTTGGTCTCTTTGGAGCGAATAAGACACTGTGGGTGAGCAATCAAACTGACATACGTTTCGGTTTCAACTAGATATCATCTGTTACTCTGGAAGGATTTATTCAACAAGATACTAGAAATCGTTGGCAAGTTTGGCCAAACCTTGAAAGACTTGATTAAGGAGGAATCAGCTGGTCTGCAACCACAACAATGAGAGAGCGTGGTTTTATTGCCTCATATCAAAAATGTGACTTATTTGCACTCGCAGCATATTTAAAATATTTGAAAGTATCTCTTATTTAATAATCTAAAACACTTTCAATATTGCAAAACGGGTTTCGTGTCTTGGATTGTCTGGTTGTTGCATGGCCGCAAATCAGTACTGTAACTCGTTGCTCAATTGAGCAACAGGTAACGAGAGTAGAAAACGATTTCGCATGCACGGCAGGTACATCCAGCTGGATAGCGGTGGTCCATGGCGTGAGGTCAGAGTACATTCGATTCGACCTTAAGGGAGTTTGGAATTTCACCTTTGAACAAATGCAAGAAGGTGTCGATTTCGGATTGTGAAAGTGCTGTCCGCTAGTGATCATACTAGTATTAAAAGCACTTTCTCGCCGTATCCAGTAGTCGCGCTCTTGTTGCTGGGTGTTGCCCGCGTACTGTCGCCAAATCGTTAAATCTCATGTGGTCTGACTCCGATCCCTTCTGAAGGCAATAAATCAACACTCTGTGGCATTATCCAGGGAATGGGCTTGAGTACCTCAAATTTGAAGAAAACTGTCGTGGTTTTTAGCATCTCTACGCCGGCCAGGGTTGCGTCGGGGTTGAAACATGAAACTGACCAATGTGCGGATTGCTCGGAGTCTATACCATCACGCAAGTCAAAGAATATGAGTATGTTGATCCCGCTTGTAGCTCATTTTGACTCTCCGTGCTGAAATCCTTCTTCAGGACAAAGCGAAAGGTTCTTTCCAGCCCTAGCGTTCCACTTCCGATTCGTCAAGGAACCAATCGTATGAGGCTATCTGTTGGGACTGTTTGAAGAAATAAGTTTGAAACAGGTATGATAACATCCTTTGCAGTATCCTAGGCGATAAGACAATACCAGACAAACCGCTTGGTCAACAACAAGCATCAAGTTGCTGGTCTCTTTTTGCGGTTTTTTTGGGTATACTGAGACTCCAACTTGATCAAAGGCCACACCATAGTCATCTGAGTCTGGTTCTGCCGCGTGCTGGGTAATCTGTTTGACACGGTCTAGACATCAGAAAACCATGAAATGGCAGGATCTGACTGCTTCTCCTCTTCCGCACGATTAGGTCGATATCTGAGTTTGCTAAGAGATTGAGGTATGATGGAGTTGCAAGATCGCATTCGCAGCTTGATCGAATTGAGCAGAAACACAAGAACGATTGGACACGTCGCATGTACAATATGTCGCGCTGCCAAGCTCAGATGTGACTCTATTCGTCCAGTAAGGCGGCTAGAAACACTGAATGATTGGCAAGCTGGTTGAAACTTATCCTTGGTTGTTAGTCATGTACCAACTGTCTACGACGGGACAAAGGTTGTGAATATACAGAACGAACGAGAGCATTGCCTTCCACAAAGGGACCAAAGGACAAGTTAGTATTCCCATGCTGCTTCAGTGTTGAACTCCCGACATGGATGGCTAACAAGTAGTACTTGCAAACAGGTATATTTTGGATCTCGAAGAACGATGCAAAATGATGGAAGACCGCCTTGCATCTTTGCTAGCCAGCACGGAAAGCCCGGCTCCAGCCACACCGAGCAGCATAGCAAAGACACCTGCATCTGATGACTCTATATCATCCACTCCCTCATCCTCCGTCAACTTTCCAGTGTCCACGTTAATGGAACTCTCAAACATAGCCTTGAATCGCAAAGACGTCAAATCGTTCTCATCGCCATTTCATCCTTCTTATTTTATCGCCCATGCCAATGATGAGAGTTATCGAAAAGTGTTGTACTCCTGGGCCGCATACGGATCATACTTAATGCCTCAGCCGATTACAGTACAAGGGAACTCGGAAATAAACACTATGCCACCAGAACAAGCTCGAATACTGCTACGAGAATTGGCGAGAAAGAATCTTCGATTGCTTGACGAACACGGAAACTTGAGTCTGGACGATGTGGATGCTTCATTTGCCTCTACCTACATGC